CTCTCCGACTAGAGGCTCCGGTACCTGCTTATTAGCGTAATAGTTGCGCGGGGCCTTATTGCCTTAGTAGCTGCGTTCTTACTAACCCTAGGTGTCGCGTGCGTCGTTTCGCGTACCCCTATCTTATCGTTGTCTACGATTAGCATTCTTGCTACCGCGTACATCGTAGCCCCGATTATTATTACGTAGCTCTACCTAATTGTTACGGTTAGAAACGTACTCTTTTTAGCGTCCCTCCCTCGCTAGGGCTTGCCTATCGTTTCCTTAATCCCGGCGCTAATACTAGTTTTAATTAGTATAGCTACTATTTCTAGGGCGCTTATTGCCGTAGCCGCCGGCGTAACTGCGACCTAAATTGTCGCGATATCCGCGTACTACTATAGCGTACCGATCGTCGAACCTACTAGCGTAACCGCGACTAGAAGTATTGCGATACGCGCCCGAAGAATCGGCGTACTAGTCGCTATTGCGAGCGTTTCGGTATTGTAACTTACTATTATATCTATTGCGGCCTCGTACTGTACTATAGCTATCGGACTATATATATCTACGGTACTATACTTTATACTTGTCTTTAATAGCTCGTATAAAAGTGTAAATCGTATCGCTTAGTAAAGGCTTATCGAGCTTGTCCTATAGGCGGGGCTCGAATCGTAACTATGCCTAGTAGAGAAGGGCGTACGGTCTATTAGGGTCTGTCTCGAAACCTGCCTTACGTACGTAGCGGATACAGTTTATAATAAATTACTAGGGTGCTCTACGGTTGCGTACGTCCTATACTATATAGGATTCGGCGTATAGCTTGTCCTAGGCCTCGACGATAGATCTGCTAAACTTGTCCCTTAGTGCCTTGCACTAGCGCTTAATGCCCTCTCCTCCGCGGATAGTATCGCGGTTATTACTCGTTAGCTCGTAGATAAACTATTGCTATACGGCTCTACGTAGGCACTTCGTAAGCTAAGTACGCACTATGCGGGCGTAATTAACCGCCGCGTAGTCGCAAGCTACGTCTAAGAACAGGTATACTAAGGTAAATGTAACCTTGTTACTATACGTATAGATGTCCTAGCTATCTAAGTCCGCGTATAAGGCGTCGGGATAGAAGTACCCGATATCTATCGGGTCGAACCTCTCTAAGCGCTAAGAACGCTACAGGCTATAATAGGGTAAGCGGCTAAACTAAAAGTTGTCGATATAGTGCGGGTTAAAGCGGTAACCTCGAGAGCTAAAGTTCCCGCCTTAGGTACTAGAATTACCTAGGCTCGGGCTTAGAGGCTCTCCGCTAGCCGCACCGCCTTAGCTATAGCAGCGTTGTCTAGCCTCGGCGTTACGTATTACGTTACAGCGTAACTAATAAGGCTAGGCCTCGACTAGGTTAGGTAGTAGGGCTAATAGAACTTGTTTATACGGAACCTGTTTATTTAAACCTATACGCGCGAGGCGCTTAGCTCTTCTAGTATCTAGCCTATCTTATACTAAGCTCGAAGGGATGCTCTAGCGTAATTAGTCGATCTTATCCTAGATCTCGTCCCTAAGCTATTAGGTCTATATAACTTATTAATTTAACAGTTGTCTAAACAGCTAGCGTATCTCGTTACGTAGGACGGCTAGATTAGCGGCATTTAGGATTTCGCCGTTAGCGTCTTTAGCGGCCGCGTTAGCGCTAGCGGCGTTCTAGTTCTCGCGTGCTAGAACTTCGCGTAGCGCGCCTTCTCGTAGGCGTTAAGGCTAGGGATTGTCGTAAGCTAGCTACTTGCCGTTTCGCTAGTTTTAGGAGGATAGTCCCGCGCTAGTATTGCGTATACGCTAGCGGTCTGCGACTAGACGCCTAGCCTCTATACCTAGGAAAGCGTCGACTAACCTATTATAGCGCTATGTCTGCTATCGAGAAGGTAGGTTACGCTCGACGCTAGGCTCTATATATACTAAGTCCGTACGCTAGAACTCTAAGTCTATCTCTTAGGATATATTAGCTATGTCTTTAGTAGAAGCGGATAGGATTAACGGCTCTTATTGTCGTAGTCCTTACTACTGCGTCTTAGGACGTTAATGTTCCGGTTCGGGCCTCTGCTACTAAAGCTCTTACTACTAAGTACCTCGTTAGTAAAGCTTAGTATCTAATAAAAGGGACTCCGGATTGTTCGGGGCTAGAAGCTCTTACTATTCGGGCTTAGGGCTCTATTGCTCCAAACCTTGCTATTTAGGACCCTACTACTTAGGGTTGATAGAAACCGGTAAAGACAAATTAGGACTGCTCGGGACTAACAGCTCTAAGGCACTAAGTTCTCGTAGGCCTAGGGGAAATACAATCGGTAAGGACCTATAACGTATGTATATAACTCGTCGTATGCTAGCTGCTAAAACGGTCCGACGACGACGTAGCTATAGGCTAGTGTCCGGACTTAGACTTGTAGGCACTACTGTGTCTAGTAACAGCGGTACTAGTTCTAGAGTAGGAGTAGCTAAGTCGTTAGGCTCTATCGAGTCTAAAATAGCAAGTTCGTTACGGAGTGCAATTAGCGTCTTCGCTGCTGCCGTAACTAAAGAGCGGTTAACTGCCTAATCCTAAGGGAAACCGAGAGTAGTACTACCTCTAGCGTCCGAGAGTTTTCGTAGTATATATTCTTCTAGGGGCTAATAATAAGTAGTAATTGTCGTAACGACTGCTTTTAGCGGGTCTCTCTACTTCTAGTATACTAACTTAGCGTAACTAGCGTTAGCTAAGAACTCCTTAAAGCAAAAAGCGATGTTTAACGAGTAGGCGTCTAAATCGGGGCGTACGGAAGCTAGCGTATTTATAGAATAAGCGTAGGCTCGGTAATCTTGTAAAAATATAGGATAAGTATAGAGTTAAGGAACTAGACTAGAGTCGGGAAACTGTTAGGATGCTTATAGGCTCTTGCCTCGACTAGTGCCCGCTTCGGCAGGTGCTAGTATAGAGTAAACAAACCTAGATAAGGAAGGCGGGCCGCCTAGTCTAGCGATTAGAGGGCTATAGGGCGCCGTCGATTAGAGGGCTGTCGGTATATAGCTATATATATATAGAAGATAATATACGGAATTTAGAGGACTATCGTAATCGTATCTATATCGAGCGTAGGTAGTTGTTATAGTTAGGTAGGTAGGTCGGTGCCGCTAGTACGGGACCTCGCGGTCGCGTTTTTTAGTTTTTTAAGATGCCCGTTCGTCTAGTACTTAGGTACTATTCGAACAGATCTAGATCTAACTAAAGCGAAGCTACTAATTGTTACGCGAGGGACGATTAGTAGTTAGGCAATAGTATAGTATTAGGGTAAGTATCTACGGTTCTACGGAAAGTATATACCGGGCTTAGCTAGCGTACCGTCCCTACTATAATATCTATTATCTACGAAGTAGAGCGGCTCCTAATATAGACCTACCTTACTTTCGTTAATATCGCTCGTTTATATATCTAAGCTATAAAGCTATATATAGTCGCCGTTAGCCGCTAGGTATGCGCGTAGAAGCTAAGCGACTATAGTATACTAGCCTCCGTATAAACTATTTGCGATTCGGACCCGGTCGGCTTCTAGCTAAGGTCCTAAAGGATCTCGACTTTTAATATAGCTCGTATCTATTAAGTCGCAGTAAGTTGTAACCGCAAATATGTCTAAACTATATTAAAACTGTTAGTACAAGATAGAATAATTGCCGAGCATAGGTGCAACCGTACCGTTAGATACTACTATCCGTTCCTCTAGAATATATCCTAAGCCTTAATATTCGCTAAGCTAGTAAGACTGTACTCCGCCTCGGTTGCTTTATAATTAGGCGTAAGTCGTTGCACTATACCGAACGTAATATTGGGGTTGGAGAAAAGCGGTGGACCCGTGACAAATGGTGTAGTATCATAGACAATATACCTAACACTATCAGGACAGATTGTGATGCCGAAATCTCCGTTACCATAGCTTGTGTTTCCGCGAGCGTACGGCATGACAGGTTTGCCCAATTCGACGAATGATCCCACGGGGCTTGAAGCGTTGAACACTGTGTAGCTGTAGGTCGAAGCTCCCGAGTTCTACGACTCATGAGTAAACGTATCAATAACAGCATAAACGGCAAATGACCAACCATCCACATAATGTACTCTCCGCTTTTAGGGTTTCTCAAGACCTTTGGACGAAAGCACGCGGCAGTGTCAGCGCAGGCCTCCTGCCAGTATTGTGTCGACGCATCGAATAGAAAGCCTTCGTCATGCCACGTCAAAAGATCACTCGAGGAATAGCATTTGAAGCCACAGAACGGTGAGGTGAAGTTGGAGGTACGCCAGCGAAAGCCGCAATTGTATGAAGTCCCGTAGAGATAGTATTTGCCATCGAAGTAGTATAGCTTCCCATCGTGAGCGTCTATGAGGTTGCCTGCCGAATCAAGCTTGTAGTTAAAGTTGGATAAGATTACTGCCGTGGTCGCAACTGTTGACACCAGCAGACAGAGGGTATACTTGAGAAAGACCATCCTTTGTGTCAATACGCCAGTCATATGCACAATCTTCGCAGCAACGCATCTCGCTTCGCTTCTTCTGCGATGCATGAAGATTGCCTGTTGTGTTCTGGCTAAAGTCGGGTGAAGCTTATCCGACAACCCTGCTTCTCTCGCATGTGACTCCGAATCGGGCAGTATACGAAGCTCATGGCATCACAGATGGACATTGCTGTGAATGAGATCTTGTGGAGCTTGGTGCAATTGAGGACATGAGCTTTGGCAAATGTCAACCACTTTTCATGGTCTTTTTTTGGCTCCGGGGTAGGGGTTGCATAAAGCTGGTCGTCGCAGAGATATTGTTTCATGCATCAACATCTGCTGAGCTGAGAGCAGTCGAGGCAGCAATTCCAGGCTGCCCCCTGGGAGACATTCTCTTTCTCCACGAAAAGCTTCATGACCGAATGCGACTGACTGTTTTCGATGAGAAAGCATCTCAGCGTAAAAGTGCCGGGCGGCTGAGGAGATTGACATGTCTCCATATGGCTGTACATAATCTACACAGTCACCATAACGCTAGCATTTTTATACCAGCTGAGCAAAGGGTTCTCTCCGCTCCGCATCTGCGTGTCCTCAAGATATGCCCATCTCTGAAAGAATTCCTCGTGCGACATGACTCTCGTCAACCGTCCTGTGGTGGCGCGATATATGTCCTCCATTACGCCAAAATCACTTGGAAACAATATGTCGAAATACCCCTGCTGTACGAGCGGCGTCCGAACAGGTACGGTCCTCCTCTCATATCTTGTCTGCACCACTGGCGCATTATATCCAGCAGTAGCTTGCGGCAGACTGTGGAAGTCTGATGTGATGAGTCGATGTGCTGGAAACTTATTGGCCAAAATGGAGAAGAATTGCATCAATCGTGTCGGAATGTACTCCGGCAACGTCAGATTTGGCGCGAGCGGCATCTGATGTCGTAACGATCGTAGTAGTTTCGACTTTCGCAGTGGATTTGGATAGTTCCTATCCTGGCATGCTGCGTCTCGCACTCGAAGGAAGCGTTGCACGACTGGATCCAAGGTGCGGCTATAGAACTCGTAGAAGTCGCCTTCGCCGTCGATAAGCACCGAACCTTGCATGACTTCTTCCGTGAACGGGTCATACCGCAGCACGTCATGTGCGAAGTTGTCAAAGACTTCCATGGCCAAGAAGAAGCACGGCGTAGGCACGTACAGGTCCCAGTCAAACACGGATTTATTGATAATTTCGACCTTGCCCTCATGTCCACGCGCTGAAGTAGTCGATTTCAGTTTCTGCGCTTGCAAGTTGGCAAGTGCATGCGAGACTTCTATAATTTTGAATTGCGTCCTGGCGTACACTTCTGGGTCTGTGTGCCGTATGTAGTCCAGAATGTTCAACATGAGTGTACCGTTTCCAGCGCCGATCTCATATATTACCAAGTCGTGGTAAGGATACAAGGTGAGCTTGTAGTTTGCCACCATGTACCTTGCTATGGCCTCTCCATAATATGGTCTGAACAGTTCTGTGGGTGTGTGCCATAACTGCCTTGCTTCATTATACTCTTTCTTGTCCAGCTGGTCTTCGAATTGGGTGTAGCGCTCGCCAAGCAATCGATAGAACTCCGGTTCATCTCGTATGCTGTTGTAGTCGAACGGTGCTCCAGGCGAGAAGATGGTGACATTCTTGCTGAAATATCCATAGTGAGGATTGTATAAGCTGTCCTCGATGAAGTCTCGCATCAGCATTTTCACCCTCCGCGGTCGCTCCCTTCGCCCTCGCAATGCATCTGAAGTCACAGTTGGAAAGCGCTTGAACTCTTCAGATTTGTCGCTAGGAAAATGATCGGTTCTCTGCTGCCATGAGCTCTCGTTCGTAGTCTTCGGCCGTCGTCCATTGCTTTGGCATCGCGATTGTGTCGTTGCTAGCGGCCTCGAAATATGCCGTGCTTGATGGCAGAAGCTATGACTTGCTAGACGTCGGAAAAGGCGATTTACCGCGGGAGAGTCCATACCAATCTGTCTCCTGTTCAATAACAATGGCCTGGAGTTGTTCACTTCGCGAGGTACGGTTGCGGAGCTCTCTTCCGAGAAGGCCTGTGCTTTGCAAGGGTATCGAAGCTAAAATTGCAGCGTCATATGCTGTTGCCATTTCACAATTCCACACCAACGTTGATTCACATATCTGGACAGCATGCGGCGGCTCTGATATACGTCGCTGAGAATGGGAGTCGTGGCCGACGTATGGCATCGAATATGGGACAGTATCGTCGATAACCGACACAAGCTCACAGCGACGGGCGGCTTTCTTCTTGGAATCATCGTCACCCTAGGATTGAAGGACTTCTATCCAGACCTGGAACATGCCTATCGCAAACGCATAAAGCACCTGCGAGGCCAAAACCACCCAAGACCAGGCCACCCAGACTATGTCCGACTAGAGGACCACACAAGGCGAAAGTCCTCTGTGCTACCAGAATCGAATCTCGATGCCAGATGGTCACAGTCCAGTGCCATAGCTCCTCAAGATGAGATCAGTGTTGGTGTTGAAGGCCTAATAGGCAATACGCCACTGATCAAGTTAAAATCTTTGAGCGAAGCAACAGGATGCGAAATTCTAGCCAAAGCAGAATTCTTAAATGGAGCTGGCAATTCGCCGAAAGACAGAGTGGCCCTGTCAATGATCACGCATGCTGAAGAAGCTGGAATTCTCGTACCTGATCGTGGCGACACAATCTACGAGGGCACCGTAGGCTCAACGGGAATTTCACTCGCAGCTGTGGCGAGGGCGAGAGGATATAAAGCACACATGTACGTATATCTTCAGAACCCCGTGAACTCCAACATGTCCGAAATTCTCAATGATTTCTTTCTAGTTGCATGCCATCGGACACCTCTACCGAAAAATCCGACATCCTCCTCAAACTCGGCGCAGCAGTCGAACGCGTGCCTCCAGCCTCAATCATCGACCAAAACCAATTCGTCAACACAGCCCGTCGTCGAGCACAAGAGCACACTGACGACCCAAATAAACCCGGCGTAGGTTTCTTCGCAGACCAATTCGAAAACACAGCAAACTACCTCGCACACCAATCCACCACAGGTCCAGAAATCTATTCCCAAACTTCCGGAGGCCAACTTGACGCTTTCGTAGCAGGAGCTGGGACAGGAGGTACGATCGCTGGCATAGCGTTATACCTCAAGCCTTTAATCCCGAACCTCAAAATCATCCTTGCAGATCCTCAGGGTAGCGGTCTTTACAATAAGATTCGGTATGGGGTTATGTTCTCATCTACAGAAGCCGAAGGCACGAGACGACGGCATCAAGTTGATAGTATTGTCGAAGGAGTCGGAATTAATCGTCTGACTAAGAATTTCCAGGCTGGGATGCATTTGATTGATGACGCGGTGAAAGTGACAGATGAACAGGCGATGAAGATGGCAAGATGGTTGGTCGAGAACGAAGGGTTATTCGTTGGCGCGAGTAGTGCTGTGAATCTCGTGGCTGCTGCGACTATGGCGAAGAAATTGGGAAGAGATAAGAGGATTGTAACGATAATTTGTGATAGTGGGAATAGGCATCTGAGTAAATTTTGGAAACAGGCCGGAGAGATTGGTGGAGCAGACGTAGACTTTAGTCTAGATGAGATCTTGCAACCGTGATTCTATCTATGTCTTATTCTCATCCTCCTCGTCTTTACTGTCCGTGTCCGTGTCCGGTTCCCTCTCCTCCCCGTCCTCTCTCTTTTGAACCTCTTTCTTCCCTCTTTTCGCCTCTTCCCTCCACCTCATACCCACCTTCATCAACCAAAACACCGCCGCAATCAAAACAACATAAACAAGCGCCAAAAACGTAAAAGCCCAGCCAATCCCCATAGCATCACACATCGGAATAATGGCCGCCGCACCACCCGCACTCATCAAACATCGAGCAAAATTCACGGCCGCGGTGGCGGTAGCTGGTTGATCACGATGTAAATCTATGAGTAAAGTGTTCGTGATATTGAAAGCCGTTGACACGCCAAAACCAATGAGAAATAAAGCCACCTCGGGCCCAGCGAGGGAGGTATGGAAATTCAACGTCCAGCCAAAGATCAAAATTCCGATTGTGCCGATGATATGTCCTGGAACCACGACTTCGAAACGGACGCGTTCGATGGGGAAATTTGTGAGGTCTTGTTGCCGGGTTTTGCTGATGTGGAGGTTGAGGCGGCGGGCATGTCGACGGAAATTCCAGTCTACTACATGACCCATTGTTAATGTTGCGGTTAGAGATCCCATGCCCATGGAAATGTAGCAGAGTCCTGTGTATAGTGTGTTTAAGTGATAGATAGATTCGTACAGGGTGGGTATGGAGGCTGTTACGACCATCATGCCGGTGAAGAAGAGGCCGTTGTAGAGGAGGATGAAGGAGGATTCTTTGTCGGTGAGGATTGCGAGGGTTTGAAGTGGGTTTGGGAGGGAAAACTTCGATCCTTTTTTGCTGCAGGTTGTGGTGAAGGAGCTTGCGTCATCTCCAGAGTTTAGGCGGTGGCCTCGTTGTTGGAGGTACCCTAAGATGGATTGGTTCACGCCTTTGGCGGGGATGGAGCCGTTGCCTACGACGTTTCGACAGGTTTCGGGGAAGAAGAGTGTGAAGACTACCAACAGGAAGCCTGAGAAAATCACGAGGAACCAGAAGGTCCAACGCCAGCCTAGGTATTGGGCGAAGAGGCCTCCAATTGTCTGGATTGAGAGGAAAGAAGTGGTTAGTGATTGCTTGAGACAGGTCGTACAGAGATGAGATGGAAAGAACCTACCGGACCAAAAGCTGGGCCGAACAACAGTCCTGCTGTCGCATAGCCCATGTACTTGCCACGTTCTGCAGACGTGGCAATATCGGCGACGACAGCATTCGAAAGAGCTATAGCGGCGCTACACCCAAATGCTTGCACCATACGCAGTACCAAGAGCGCCGCATAATTCGTCTGCAGCGCGAGACCAATGTTCGCAACCAGAAAGATTATGAAGCAGACAATATACGATAGTCTCCTGCCATTCGTGTCTGACATTCCTGCTATGAGTGCTGGAGCAATGGCTTGAGCAATCTTTTCAAGATCAGCATCCACCTTCCGCAATCATCATTTAGACCATTCACTTACCATGTAAGTCGTCAAACTTAAATTAATCAACGTCGGCGTGACGCCAAGATCTCGTGCAATCACATCTAGAGCTGGGTAGAATGTCGTAGCACCAAATGGCGAGATGAGAGACGATATAGAGACCGCGACGACAATAAAAATCTTTGCTCGAGGCGTGAAGATAGAATACGGTGGTCCAGAAACAGTCCGTTGAAGCTCAAGCTTCGGCGCAGCATTTCGTTCTGCTTCGTTTCCGTCTGCAGGGGTTTCGATTTCTTCTTCACCTGGCATTCGGCCTTCTGGCACAACCAATGCCGTAGGCGCTTCTTGCTTCTTCTCCATCATCGAATATTATCCTTTTTAGATTGTTTCATAAGGTCGCCATTGTTTGCTGCAAACGACAAATCCAAAACGGAGCATTGGAAGAAATTTAACGGCGTCGGTTACCTTCCCATATCGGCCGGAGGTATGAACGGTGTTAACTGCCCATCACACCTATATCGGCCAAGCTAGTCGATGTGCGGGCTGCAGTGGGTACGGGTATGCAAGATTGATAGACCACGTTCGCGGAGCCGCATGCACTAGCGAGCCGATTTAGCCGTTGACTGGGGAGGGAATTCCTGTATGCTGGCCGACAATGTCATGTTGCATTTAGAGGATGCTGATTCTCTTGATCCATCGTTGAAGAGATAGAAGAGCCTTGCAATCTTTGTTGAGCTCAGCTTCGTATCGAGACCGGCAGTAGGACCGATTTCATTCTTGCAACGAGGACCTCCTTGCTTGACTTCGCTCCAGGATCAGTCCTATTCTGATTTCTTTCTTGTATGACATTCAGGTGATGCAGCCTGAAGCCCAGCGCCGATTATCAGCACTGCGCAGTGTACCTGCATATGATTGAGGGACTTTACGAGACAAAGATGTGGTGACACGTTCTCATCTGTCGCCGAGTTATCTATGCGCGTGCTCTGTCGCGTAAGCTCAATGGATGCACAAGATCTCTTGCAGTATCACCTGCGCCAACGTGCGATCATTAGGAGAGGCGAAGCCGATATCGGTAGTCACAAGTTGCTGGCATGCAATGCTGTCTCTGCTATCCAATCAATCGTGCCTTGTAAAAAGCCAGAGCCCAAGTCAGACACCCGTCTCATGCCAACTCATCTTCTTCAGGATCGCTCATTGTCCTGACAGCCGTCTCAACGACTCTTCTGGAGACATTACCTCTCTTATGATCGATGATCGGCGTGCTTCTCCTTCGCGGCGTTGAATGGCTTTTCAACTCCGCAAGTCTGCGTAAGCCCAAGCTTTTTGGTGTCTTGTAGTCACTCGCAGGCCAGGATGGCTTTGCAAAAAGCGATGAGCTTGATACATGTGCGATTGGCTCACTTCCTAAATGTGAGCCTGTCCTGTCTATGAAAGCTTCGACTGTTCTTGGAGAGCTCAAAGGATCATTAGCCAAGTCGGCCGCATCCAAGGAGTTGATACTCAGCCTGACACTCCGCCTCTTCCCTGCTGGCTTGGAGCGTCCCTGCAGGTCAGGCGTTCGCGTCTTGTGTATCTTGGTTAAACGAGGCTTGTTGGTTTCGATCGGGGTCGTTACAATCACCTCCGGGTTAAAGGTGACATGACGAGAACGTGGTCGATACAGACTAGTCGTGTCATCGGCAGAGGCAGCAACTTCTTTGCGTGGCATATCATCGACGAATGCTTCAACACCTTCTTCAGCCTGTAGAGACCAAGTTGCAGACTCTGTAGTCAAGGCTATCGAACCAGGCTCTTCCTCGCTTCTAGTCAATTGGTCTTCAAGCTGCATTGAAGTTTCGATGCCAGTCGCCGACATTGCCTTCGAGGACCTCTTCTTGCCTTTCAGGCATCCCCTCCGTTGAGGGGCTTGGTGGCTGAAGTCGGACGTGGATGGTGCATCATCGTTGGGGCTATGCGTTTCGACGTCGATCTGCTCAGAGTTCAAAGTGGTAAAAGATTCATACTGTAGCGCTGTGGTAAAGTCGGAGATGAGAGTGGCTGTTTCGAGGCCCTCGTCCAAACGATGGACTGGAACCAGCGCGCCCGATTCGGTATGAGATTGCACTCGAGCGACCATCGAGTTGGCATCTGAGCTCACTATTGCCCTAGCTGGTCTCGGTGCGAGATTAACTCCGTCTGTGCTTGAGTCCGCTGCAGCTTCTTGATCAGCTGCATCCCGCGAGTCAGCAACTGCATCTGGACTCGAACTGCCTGCGTACAGTGTCTCTGCAGAGGAGTTTTCTCCAACAGCAATGGAGGCAGAGGGGCGGCAAGACCTTATTGCCAAATCGACAAGTTTGGCCTCTTTGACTGGAACGACATTGTCTACAGACGTATCAGAGTCGCAACTGTGCAAAGGTACAGAAAACTCCTCTGATGCGTGCTCAGCTCGACTATCCGGCGTCGGCGACTGTCCAGTGTCGTCCTCGGTTATAGACGGAGCTACATGTACGGCGCTTGGTCGATCTGGAGGATAAGTGGAAGAGCGTAGAAGCTCCTCTTCAAGCTGTTGAGATGGCTCCGGATACTCTGGCTGTGATGTGCTCGATTGATGTTCGCTTGAGTCTGCTGGGTGGAGAGTGGGCGTAAGTTGAAGCATTCCACTGTCAAGCTCATGGTCCATTGTCGCAGTAGCTTCAGTCCCGTCGGGTTCTGTCTCCGATTGGTACTGCACAAGTGAGTCCGACTGACGTCTCAGGCTGTTGTCTAAGGCTTGACGCAGCAGCGGTGTGGCACAGCGTTGCAGGCCTGTGAGCGATGCAGTTGGCAGGCTCCTTCGGGTCCGTGAGTGAGACACTTTCAGCTTTGTGCTGTATCGCTTGTGAAGTGAACCTGGAGCCCTACCATGAAAATGCTTGGCCATATCGTACCAACTGAGGCCCTGGCCGACTAGCCGCGAAATGAGATCGTCTTCCTCGGGTGTGTAGAAGCGAGAAGGACTCTGTAGTATTTCCAGCGGCGGAGACGGGGCACGATCCGAGACGGCATTGGTGGTGGACTGTTCATATCCGTCCTCCGTGATCACTTCATACCGTCTCTTCACTGCTTCCACATCATCACCGGGCAGAAGACTGGCAACTTCGCGCCAACCCAAACCTTCATCTTCAATCAGCTCAAGGAGGAGTGCGTCGTGCTGCTCACTCCATCCCTCAATTTGCGAAGATTCGGTGCCGGGACTCTTCGCGGCAGACTCTTGTGCAGCGGACTCTTGAATGGCAGCCTCCTCTGCTGTATCCCGCTCCATGGCCATCCCCTGGTCAAACAGGTCTCTGCCCTCGCTTCGCTGGCCCTTAAGGTTAGAACTGTAGTGCACCTGCACCGAGCCAGCCGAACGATTTGGGAAGTGTTCGCTGATCTCCTCCCAGCTCAGATTATCTGCTTCCTTGAGCTTGATCATGCGGGCATTCTCTTCGGCTGTCCATCGGAGTCGCACTTGCTTAGGAAGCTGTGGGCGAGTCATGGGCCTTGAGGTATTCGCTGTGTACAATACCGAGGAACTTGAACAGGGTATCGACGAAGGTGGTGGATCTCGCCTTCGAGAGGCGCTGGTTTTTGGCTCGAGCTGTATCTCGGCTCGCTGTCTTTCAGCACCAAGCTGTGTGTCTTCGACGGCAATCGTTTGTTTTGCAAGCATCGTCGGTTCTTTGTTCTCTTCTTTGACCTGCGTATCGCTTTCCATTGTGTCGGGGGGTGGTGGAGTTGGTGAGTCAAATGGCTTCATACGACCATGGTGCTGATAGTACTGACCACAAGAAACGCACAAGTCTTGACCGTGTGGTCCCTGGATCCACTTGTGCGAACGAGTCAAGCTGCAATTCCAGCACCTCTTTTGCTCAACGGCGTCCGTATTGACGCCGAAGCGACGAACAGGTGGCTGAACAACCTCAGCATACAGGTTGCGTCGTCTTCGCTTACGTGCCGCAGCAGGATCTGCCACTCCAGACCACAGGGATTTGTCTCCCACAGAAGGATTTAGAGGGGAGCAAGTCGTCGGCAAGGCTGGACTGGGGCTGCGCTTTCTTTTTTCCTTTGGAGCTCGAGGAAGCTGAGGGTAGTCCCAAACAGGATCTGCCGCGCTGCTTTGCGTCTGCACCTTTGCCCTCTTACTTGCTTTCTTTGAGCTACCCATGAGTTGCGCAAGGCGGTCCGCAATACTCGTGCCTAGAGCTTGGATCGTGTCCGAGTCGATCCCTGCGCGTCGGCCGTCGCTCGCGTGTAGAGCAGCTGTAGACTGTGTTAAAGCTTCAGCTAGGACGGCAGCAGGAGTTACTGCTTCCGACACGCTTCGATGTGGAGATTCTTCCACCATGGCTTTGGCAGCATCACCTTCGATGGCGATAGGGCTTTGCGGAGTGCCATCTTCCACCAGCAATCGAGTCAGGCGCGGAAGTCTGACAGGTCTCTTTATGCAGTCCAGTGCACGTAGAGAGTCGTGCTGAGAGTGCGAATTGGCAGATGTAAGTGGGTTTGCGCTGACACCGGCAGGCTCGTTCATATTGTCACCACCGTTGTTGTCCTCACCGTCCTCGTCGCTCTCATCAGAGTCGCCTGAATCCTCCTCATCATCTGAGCTGGTAGAGGCATCTTCAGATCCGTGCTCGAGGGGGTGCTGGAATGTTTTCAACAGGAATCGAGAGGAAGCGCTCCTGCCCGGATCGACCTCGCTTCGCATGTGCTCCAAGTGACCATTGTTCACAACGATGGTGTTCGTGTGTATTTCGATCTCGTCGCCGACTCCCGTGAAGTCGTGCTCGTACTTGCGGAAGATGTGCTCAAAGCGGGACTTGAGCTTCTGATCGTTGCGTGCTCGGTCAGTTTCGAGACGAGCGTCGTCGTCGCCGCCGCCGCCGCCGCCGCCGCTCTGTACATAGTTCTCCGCCATCGCGATATCGTACACAAGCGCGCCGCTGACACGTTGCTGTTGCCATGCACACAGCACAAGATACTGTATCGTATGTCCGCGGCTGACGCGCGCCGGGGAGACGCGACGGAAACATCGGGAAGTGGGAAGCGGGAGCGGGAACGTCTTGGCATCGGCAAGGCGCGACTTGAACTCCGATGGCAGCTGTTCATAGGTTTTCGACGACACGAACATTCGAGATCAGGATAGCCGGAATTCTCCATGAAAGATGCGCCGACCCGTATGTCACTCTCCAATGCGCCCTCGCTGAGCGAAACCGAATCGCCACACGGTGTGCAGCAATATGGCGACTCTCCAGTGCCAGAAGTGCAAGACTCCTCTCAAAATCGACGCATCGCTGCAGCACCTCAACCCGGCTTCGTTCAAGATTCTGGCCGATGCAGCGCCTGTGCTGGAGCCAAAAGCGCCCGAAGCGCCGCGATCAGCAGCAGCCAAAGAACGCAGGCAGATCTACGATGATGTCTCGAAGCAGGCTGGACCGCCTGTGCACAAGCGGAGCGTGTCTGCCAGTCAACGCCCTGGTCTGCATCCAGACATGTCCTACATCATGCTTTCCGAGCCGCAGCTGGCGTCGGGAGAAGAGCATGTCACCGCGCCACCAAAGAAGAAGCCCTCGAAGAAGCCGGACACAGCTGCTGTCGCAGATGGCCAAACGACGCTTTCCCAGGAAATGGAGACGACCATGCGCGTGTTCGAGATCTTGTCGGCTCGATCCGACATCGACCACCCAGTGTGCTCCGAGTGTACAGAGCTTCTTCTCGAAGGCCTCCAGAAACGCCAGGCCAGCGTCAGCCGTGAACGTGATGCTTACGTGGACTTTCTGAAAAAAGCCCAGCAAGACATGCCCACCGAGGAAGAGAAGGCAAAGACGAAACGTGACCTGGAAGATGCTCAGAGACGGGAGAAACAGGCGTTGGAAGAGCTCGAGGCTCTGGAAGCTGAAAAGGCACGGATGGAGGATGAGCTTGCGGCTCTTGACGCTGAGGCAGAGGCTTTGGATGAGGAGGAAGAGCAGTTTTGGCGTGACAGGAATGCCTTTGCCGCCGAACTTGCTTCCTTCCAGGAGGAACGTGATAGTCTTCAGGTTCAGCTCGCACATGATAGTAAAGTGCTTGAAGCTTTGCAGCGCACAAATGTCTACAACGATACCTTCTGCATAGGCCATGACGGCACTTTTGGAACCATAAATGGCCTTCGTCTGGGCAGGACCCCGGACCAATCTGTAGACTGGCCAGAGATCAATGCTGCTTGGGGCCAGACCCTTCTCCTGTTGACGGTGGTGATCGAGAAACTTGGTATCAAGTTGAAAGGCTTCGAGCTGGTTCCAGTGGGTTCTACTTCAAAAGTTGTCAAGGTCGAGTATGCACAAACAGCCTCGACGCCGGATGGGAAGCCAAAGAAGACCGTCTACGAACTGTTCAGTAGCGGCGACCTCCCTCTAGCTTTGAACTTCTTGCATCGAAACTTCGACAATGCCATGGTGGCCTTCCTTGAATGTCTTAGGCAAGTGGGCGAGCATGTCGAGCGTACGACACCGAAGCCCGGCACTCCAGGCCTCAAGATGCCCTACCCGATTGTCAAGGACAAGATTGGCGACGTGAGCATCAAGCTTGGCAGCTTCGGCCAGGATGAGCAGTGGACAAAGGCCTGCAAGTATACCTTGACATGCTGCAAATTTCTTCTTGCCCATGCCAGTCACATGGCCGACTCGGCCGAAACCAGAAACGCTCGATGAAGCAGGTCACAACGCAGCTTTACTTGCACTACTGACTTGGCTGCTGTAAATGAAGACCACGTTGATGTAGCAACTTCAGAGTCTCTTCGGCCTCCTGGTCAAACGGCTCAGGACCGCTGCGCAGGAATACTCCGCTCTTCGGCTCAATCTCCAGTGTCTCACCGCTGATGTTCTCATCGAGACACTGCTCAAAGGCTTGAGTCACCGATTCCATCGAGACAATCAAACCTTTCGCTTCCATCTGCGAGTAGAACGCGTCTGTTGAAATGTTGGTACGGACGACATCTGGACAGATTGCGTTCAGCGTAATAGCTTCGGTCAGCAAGTGCTTGCCGTAGCTGCGAACAAACCCGACGACGCCGCTGAGAAGATGTCAATGACTCGTTCCTGAAGCCATGAGCCAGGTTGCTTACTGCTTGGCAGCTGTGTATATCGGCAGCGTGGGCACACAATAGAAACCACAAACGGACGCGACGACAGTGACTACAACGGCCGAGGTCAGCGGACTGCGCGGCATCATGCAACAGCGATGGACACATACTTTTTCCGCGAATCTCCCTCTCGTCCGGCTCCTGACGTCTCATCTGCTGGATCGCCAAGGCAGCCGTGTAAAGGACACCATTCAAGTCAATGTCGAGAGTGGTCAGGTCAGGTTTCACGAAATCGGTCGAATTTGGATCATTCGCTAGCCACCTCTTCTCTCCAATACCAGCGATCGCAAACACATAATCGATTCTGCCGAATTCCTCAAGTGTCTTCTGGAAAGCCGCAAGCTGTGATTCCCAGCTCGCAGCATCCAATTCGACCGCCAAGCCGTCCTTGAGTGATGATACGACTTGCTGTGCTCCAGGGAGGTTGACATCTGCGACCGCAACACGGACACTGCGCGCGAGTTTAGAGCATGCTCGTTGACTTTAAAAACATAGAGCATACCCTCTCTTTGCTAACATCTCGACCACTGCTCGGCCGATCCCGCTGGCGCCGCCTACACGCAGCTAGTCAGTCAATGATCGATGAATCCGATCATTATTGCACTCACCAGTCACGTAAGCTGTTTTGACTGCCATGATAACTTAAGTCTCGACGCTCCAAAACAACGGAGCAAGGGCAGCCTGTGAGCTCGAAGACATGCATTGTGATGCTCATCAATCCTTTCGGGATGATGTATCTTGTGAAGTGAGGGGTCGGGTTTGCGATGGCTGACTTCAGCCGATGCCCTCACCTACGTAGATCAACAGTACCCATGAACGGTCCCTTAGCAAGCTCAGCAACACAAAGAATTTGTAGCCTCATACTTTTCAGGCCACCATCGAAATGACGAGGACCTTCGTATGCAACGCAGCCAGTACCGCACTTGGCGCAGAGAGTACAGATTGGACGGGGTCGTCCTCTTATCCTATCCTTGATGTCATGACTCCGCTCCCACACGAACACATACTCCGACCATCAGACCAAAAATTTTTCTCTTTTGTATTCTGCGAACGACCCTATCTATATCCACGCTCATTGCTTCACAGACTGGCGGGACACTGACACCGACCGGCGGCAGAATCACAGCTCTGCTGCCGAGAAGCACAATGTAATGACGGAACGCGTGTGACAGTGAGCCCCGACATGAGTTGCAGTAAATTCATTCATTTCACGCTGGTATCGAAGTCTCAAACCAGAAAGTACTCGCTCCAGTTCAGAATTTCCATAACCTCATCAAATCACGACAACTTCCTCACCACCTACTCCTTATTCTTATTTCCAATCGGCAACTTATCCTTAATCTTATCCACCAAGCTCTGTTTGCCCTCACCATCTCCGGAACCAGCACCTCGAGCATTCTTCGCAGTGTTCCTCGCAGTCTCGTCTAAAGGATCAAAATCAGCAAAAATATTCAAGCCTTGCTTCACTGCTTCTCGCTTACCATCTGGCTGTCCATCTTCTTGTGGCTTTGGGTTCTCTGGTACTATCTTGCTCTCGCCCCAGTGTTCTTGGCCTAGTCTCTGGCCTCCAGCGGTAGGTATGGCGCTTTCGTTTTCCATCTTCTTGCCTCCTTCTTTCTTAAATCCTTTTTGGCCGCTTTCCTCACGTTCGAGGTGGCCTTCGCTGCCTGCGAGTGAAGAGAGAAATGTCAGCAATTCTGTTCGGTCGAAATGGAAATGCAGTCACCGAGCAACAACAGCTCATGGTCTAAGACTAGAGCCGTCACTGCTCATCCGCGTCTTCACTTACCAAGATTCTTGTTGGCTTCACTGTCCATGGTATCACCAGGACCAGACTGGTCATCAGTTGCAGTCCTGCTCACGCCGCTGTCGAAAGTATCGCCAGGCCCAGATTGACCATCAGTAGCCTTTTGGCTCACTCCACTATCAAAAGTATCTCCAGCGCGGCCTTCGCTGCTGTCAGTACTCTCCATCTTGCTTGTCGTCAAGGGTACTGCATACGCGACAGTGTCAGCCTAAGTGTTCTCTCCTGTGTTCGAACTCAACAACTCGGCAGTGAAAGTTTTGTCTCTGTTCCCAGAAGCGGTCACAGCAGCTGCGGCTACTACGGCAGAAGCTGTTGTAGAGTTGCAGATTCCTCCACATTCCTCGCTTGTTGCAGATCCGTGTCCTCCACCCTCTACTCTTCCGGCTGGCTCCGCAGTCCGAGGAAGCCCTTGAAAGTATATCGACTAGGCCGCTGCTCTTTTCTTCGCTCGGTAACAGGACTGCCTATAGGCGCCGTGCTGTTGAGGGTTTATGGGCTCGGGAGCCATACCTTTACCTGTTCCATCGTCTGCGATGTGGTCCTTGATGTAGTCAGTTCCCTCCTTGTGGATTTGCTCTTGCTCGGCGTCAGAGCCAGGTTCTGTGGAGGAATGTAAGTGATATCTTGGGGAGCTCCCAGAAGCATGCCGACCTACGATTTGGGTTCAAATCCGACATATTGTGTAATTCTCTCGCTTCTTCTTTGGGTATCCAGAGTAATTAGAAGTTCAAAGCACTTAAAACAAGAACTGGTCTTTATGAAGTAATGCAGCCAGGAGTGTCCCACTGCCTAAGGACTCACGCGTACCCGAAGCTTCCAGGGCGAAGAACAGGATAGTTAGACGAGAGGTGTTGGAACGACGTGCCCATGAGATTCGTCCACTCCTACGTCAATGGGCGACCCAGGTACCGCCACCTCCGAGGGAAGCGCAAGGTTTCAGCCCAGGAGCTCGTTGTTACCGTGCTCTCACCGGGAGAAGCGGAACGGACGAGGAGTTGGACGACTTCGGGCTGAAGCTGTCGCTCGCTCGCTTGCGATGAAATGGAATGGTCACACGCGTCTGTGGTCGATAGTGGGGAAGATGTGATGTCAGGCGTGCAGCACCAAACATGCCACATGCCACGACAGCTCTCAAGCCTTGGACGTCAAAAGCATGTTATCTTGGTCAAGACATTCCCCGCCATGTACATTGGTCTTTGCGAAGAAGCTGGCCAGCTGACAGTTCTGCTAAGCATTTTAGCAGCCCAAGTATTCCAAAACGCTTCCTTTCCCCCTCATCTGACTGGCCCTCTTCTTCTGCCGCAAATGTCTATCTTTTGCCCTCTGACAGCGACATGTTCGTGTTGGGCCTCATCAATCAGCTGTACTTTTGCGTTTTCGTGTGGGCGTCTGACTTCGGGCACTAGGTTGGCGGCAGGATGGACCGAGAGCTCGAAAGAGTGCGGTGTATGTATGCGCTTGCAAGTGGCTTCCTGTACGAAAAGGACTCGGGGCCGCCGTCTGAGCATGTGCAAGACGAGACGACGAGATGACAGATAGACGACCGATCGGAGCTGGACGCGTTGAGAGGAAGAATGCCTCAGGCGTGAGGCGCGGCAGCCGCCGTGCAAAATTAGATAGATGCCCTGTTCTTGACCGCGGGCCAGGGTGTCTATGTATGTAGCCTCGCAGGCGTTTGCGTGAGGCTGAGTCTTGGATGGCGATGGCTATCAGCCTGCTTCACTGCTTGACTTGCTGTACCCACACCCGACCAGCACCTTGATCTACATGAAATACGCTGCAGCCTAGCCGCGCTCCACCCACGCTCGATATCAATCACGTCGCCATATGCGCCTACCTGCTTTTCGCCCCAAATTCAGAAGTCCATCCTGACCAGGACTCCGCACGCCTGCGAGCACCTCCGTTCCAACGTGAAACTCTTTCCCGCTAATCAAAGAAGCTGTCGGCCGGCACAATATACATTATATCGTGGGTCGCATCGGATCACTAGATCGCCTTTCTCGCCATCGCTCCAGTGCTCCCCACCAATGATTATGCAGATTATACAAAAAGTGGGAATATTGTACTCGCTAAATCAATCGAAAGGTTGTCGTTCTTGGTATTGTCGTGTTGGCATGGGTTCAAAGCTTGGCTTTTCCTTCTTGCCCCATATACTGCGTGACCGGCTGCGACCCTGCTTTTCGTCTTTGGACTTGGAAGACTTCTCGTCTTTGGATTTTGACGGCTTCTCCTCTCTGGACTTCGTATCGCCCGAGATGCCAGAGTCTTTGGATATGGCAGTGTCTGGCCGCTTCCGGTCCTTCTCGAGCGTCTCGCTGCAATCGTTGTCCATGTATTTGGACTTGTAAATCCTGCAGACATAATTAATTAGTCAATCGATCTTGCGTCCACAGGCATCGTTTCTGCTTACCAGCTGTTCCCGGCCATGCTGACACCATGTTCTGCAGCCTTTCTGTACAAGCTCGCTCCTTTCTTGGGGTCCTTCTTCACACCCAGACCCTTGGTGTAGCAGAACGCAGCCTCGGCGAGAGCATCAGCGTCGCCCCAAGCTCCAGCAACTTCGTAACACCGCACAGCCAACGCTTTATCCTTCGAACAACCCCAGCCGTGCATGGAACTGTTGCCAAGCTCATAGATGGCAAGCGCATATTGCGCCTTCTTCTTCTTGCGTTCGGTTGGGTCGAGCTTCTTGTTTCCTCCATTGAGCCGCTCTTCAGCAGTCGCCACATCCAATGCTGAGGTTTCCATAGCTTTCTTGAGCCATTTCACACCTTCCTCTTGGTTTGGACGCATGCCCCAGCCATGTCTGCAAGCGAGTGCATACAGTAGCATGCCAGTCGGTAGACCGGCCAATGCTGCGAGTCGTAGATGGTATGTCGACTTGTTCGTCTCTCCTTTGTCATGTGCCGCAATGCCGATATCAAGATGTTCGTCCGGAGTCAGATCGGCAGAGGGCGACTTCTTGTGCAGTGGCACGGCCTTTAACGTGCGATCTGTGCTATCAGTCTTCACTGAAGGCGACGATCTGTGCATCGAAGAGATTTGGTGCGCTGGCTTGACAAAGCCGCGAGGATCTGCTGAATGGCTTCTGGCCTCACTCGGAGTGGAAGCGAGTGTCCTGCCACCTCGAGCAATCTCTGATTGTGCTGGCGATCCGCGTGGAACAGACTCAAAAATGGGGCTATCGGACTGGTTGCGTTCATGTCCAGGCAGAGTGCCATGCTGCTTGTCCCACTCGGACTGGGTTTGAATCCATGAATCTCTGAAGGCCGTCGAGCCCCGGTCCACAGGCCTACCACGAGGGAGCGCATACTTTGCGTAGATGTAAGATGATGATGAGTTCGCATCAGGTGTCGCTCCATCTGACGGAAAGTATTCTTGCCTTGAAGTCAGCCCGGGTGTTTCGATGTGCATATGGCTCATCGGCGTCGCCAGAACATCATCACCAGATCCTTCACGCGACACTGCTGGTCTGAATGACGCCTCTGTGCTGCTACTTGCTCCAGAAGGCGCGCGGCGCGGGAGATCGGACGTCTGGCGATCAAGCGAAGGTCGATTGTCAAACGACGTTCTGCTATCGAATGATGGCCTGCTACCAGAGCTGCTCATAGGTCGAGAGAAATTTGAAAAGTTTGAGACACCAGGCGCGGGTCGTTGCAGCTGCTGCGAGCCGTTCATGGAGTACTCAGACGTCATGGAAGGCGACCTGTGTATCGGATGCATCCAAGGTGAGAATGGAGACTGCGGTCTTGACGTGTTGCTGCTACCAGAGAACTTCCGTGACGAAACTCCCGCCAGGTGCGATCCTCCAGCTGCAGGGCCATCTTCAGCATCACTATCCGGCGGCACTGAGCGTATGCTTTGAAAGCTTCTCGGTGATCGTGGGATTCTAGGGGACTGGGGTGGCGCCAAGCCCCTCTCTCTTTCGGATGCCAAAGACTGCTGCGAACGGTGAGACCTTTGCGAATCATTCGTCCTAGTCCGGGGATGAGAAGATACTGTGTCGATGCTGTTGGTTAGGCTTGGTGGTGCATGTGGAGATGGTGCCTGGACGTTGAGTTTCGGGTCAACTGGATCTGGAGACGTCGCCCGCGGTATGCCAAAGTACTCCGGAGCTTCACTCGCAGAAGGGGTGTGCGGGTTCTGGTCTTCTTGCGCATCATAAAATGGTGTTGGCACGCCAGGTATGTCTCTGCTGTCCCTCGTGGCCACAGATGTCCGATCAAACATGGGATAATGGCTGACCGGTCTGTCCTTCTCTGGAAGCTGCGTTGCCGCCTTCCCCCAGTGCTCGACAGGACTGAAATCTCTGTCCTCTTGCCCTTCCGCCACAGCACTCATCTTGCTTTCGTTACTCATACTTCGAAAATAGTCTGGTCGACTCCGCACCTCGCTCGCGACCATGGTCGGCGGCAACCTACTGATCCTCCTCCCATTCTGCTCCTTGCGCTTGAATTCTTCATGTAGCGGTCGCAATTGGAAAGCCAGCGCGTCGAGCGGCGACAAGGCTGGCGGTACTTCGCCCGCGCGCGGCGACGGAAGATCTCTCCATGCTCTCACCTGAGGCGGTTGGAAGTCCTCATAGCCTGATGCCGCATCCGCCTCATCGGGTTTGAGGCTCAAGTGGGTGGGCCGCGGACCCATTTTGTTGGCGTCGTAAACAGAGTCTGTGAAGGCTCATGCGGCGGTTGCTTGTTGCTCGTATGTTGTTGGTATGGTGCCGCCAGGCTGCATCAGTGATGGAGGTGTTGTTCGGCGCGGGCCTCCGGACTGCCTTGCCGTCTGACGTGGTCGTGCTGGCCTGTAGTCAATAATGTGGTAGGGGTCGATCGTAGATAGCCGCGACGGCGAGCAGGGCTGTGTCTATGTTGCACGGTGGCGGCGAGGCAGAGTATTGTGATGCCACACGGCGAATATTATGAAGTCGAGATGTAAAGAACGGACGGCGGCGTCGAAGATGGACAGCACTGCCACTGGCAAAGGGAAGAGTAGACGACAGCAGGATCTGAGGCAAAGTCACTCACGCAAGCAGAACGCGACGTGCTGCATCAGATTCAGTGCAGCTCTCTCACAGTCTTTGCCTCTGCTCGGCACTTCACGGCGATTGTCCAATCACAGGCGCCAGACGCACGCCCGCGCTTCTTGTGCATGTGCCCCTGAGACTAGCGTGCGCACTAGAAGGGTGGAAGTTCTCTGCTTGAGCGCGTCTGCTGCTGCACTGTACAGCTGTGGCTACGGCGACGGCGTTTGCTTGGGATTTCAGCGCAGCAGGCCATCAACCACGGAGGGCGAGCACAATTTGTGCGAGATTGCCACCCGCCGTCTCGCTGGGAGACCTTGAGTAAGGTTGGGGGGATGCTCTAGCCGCGCGCCAAGATCGAGGGCGTCCCCGTTGCCACTTTATATGAAGGAACCCTTCTCCCTCTCCTGCTCGTGGACAAGCATACCTCGACTACACCTGCCATCGATGGTCATGTCTGTCAGAGATCCAGATTTCGGGAAAGGGCAATCGGAGAACGACATCTCGCTACTGCACACCATCTTCTACTCGTCGTATTCAGAGTTCATCGTTTGGCACGACCGGTCTTGCGTGATCGCGAGCCCCACAAACAGCCTGTTGCCAAGCCCATGGATGGATGGATCTAGTGGGAACATTATTACAACGCACTGAATCTCAAAGACCGCTGCATTTTCACCTGCCACTGCATGCTTGCTCGGCACTGGCATCCAAAGCATCACGATCATGCCATGCACTTCAATGCCAAGCCTCCAGTCGACCTCTAACCCGCAAGTCCATCCATCTGCTTGAAGCCACTCAGGAAGACCGTTCATGAGACCCGATGTGTGCCGACAAATCGAAGCGAAATGCTCAACCTCGTTCCGATTAATTTTCTCTTCTCCACTTTCAATCGCTTCAGATTCTTGGTCAGGCGTGCCGCGACAAATTCATACGGTTGTCAGATCCATGTCTCGAGCATGCAGTCCAGAGGTCGGTTCGGCGAGGAACATAACGGCCTCATACCACGGAATCTGCAATCTCGCAACCAGGGCAAAGGTTGCATGTGCGAAGTTGACACAAGCGACATGTGAAAAATCAATGCTACCAGAGAAGCAAGATAATCCCGAGCAATAGATCAATCTCAGGTTGAGGATCTGCTTGATGCTACTATACTTCCTCGACATCTGCAGCGGCAACTTCTTCATAGCCGCCGCGATACCGCATAGGTCCGCCTTTGGGCACCTCATACATGCTCGCATAGTCCACTGTTTGACCATTCAACAATCCCCTGTTGCTCTCCTTCTTCCCGAAGACGGGACCATCAAGCCAGAAGTCTTGACAATTCCGAAACAAGCCTCTCGTGAACGGGTTGACTCGTTTAGAGTGTTTGTGCTTTTTGTTCTTGCTGCCCTTGTACCCTTGAAATGCTATTGTGATGAAGGCATCCAGGCCGAGCATTTGTGACCAACGTCTAAGACAGCCTTCTTTCTTCTTGTGCTTGTGAGCATGACCATGTCCACCAGGATGAGGTCCGGCGCCACTGTCTGTGAGTTGTGCTCCATCGAGCGTCATTGTGCCAGCTGCAACAGCAGACATGAGCGGATTCACTTGATCCATGTTCCGCATGCTCTCGAAAGTTGTCAGATTCTTAGCCACCTGGAAGAGATGCACAAAGAGGAGCATGAACGTCCAGGTGAGTTGAAGCGAGGCCCACGCATTAGTGATTATCGTCAAAGGATCCTTGGAAAATTCGGCGCACAACTCATCCTTGAGCAAAGTGCATTGGAAGACTGTCGGTGCAGGAAGAACTTCCAGATCTGAGCGGGTCAGCTAATTGCCACAAGCTTCCATAAGCGATTGTGAACTCACATGCAATCGTAAGTCGTATCAAGAAACCAATGCCAAAGATCATAAACATTACATACAATATGAAATGCTTGTGGTTATTTACAGCCACGCAGTTGTCAACCCAAGGACAATGGCTGGAAGAGGTCAGCTTGGATTGCGTTCGCAATTGTGTTAGGAACTCACTGGTCTTCCCTCGCGACACATCTGCCGCAGCGCCTGCAATGCTTGCTTCGTAAAGGTTTGCGTATCATACATGTTGTACAAAAGTGGGTCTCGTTGAACGCATTATGCTCCACGAGTTCGTCAATCGTCTTCTTCGTCTGTCCGCGGCTCGCGCCTTTGGGTATAAAGCCAGGATCTGCCGTCATCGTCATAAAGTAGAAATAAGTACACAGGGCGTAGCAAGTCGCAAACGCTATGTTCAAAAAGAAGTTCGTCCAAAGGGTATCTATTACGACGTAAGCAAGTAAGCCTCCAGATGGAGGTTCGTTATAGGCTTACCAGGTAGGATTTTGGTCACATATTGGACTCCGACCCAGAAAAGGGTTCCAGCAAAAATACCGGCAAGGAATGGCGTCTTGTGCATAGTCTTCATGTCACTCGGTGCCCATCGCAGCGTCTTCTGGACAGCATATTGGAGAGCGTACCCAACGACGAGCACCCCGGGTATCGATATCCAAGGACTCATATATGCAAGCATGTGAAGCTGAATACCGCCGAGCACAAATGGCCAGAAGAAGAAGAATCGGCTGAAGAACCATCGCCTGTCTTTAACCATCGGGATCGGGAAGCTCATCGGATTTCCCGCCTCGTCGAATCCTGAGTCGATAAGCGCCTTATGCCATTGTCGTTCGCTTTGCATTTTCGATGCAGTCATTGCCGGAGTGTCGCCTTCCGTCTGTCCTTCTTGCGGCTTGCTACGCGCGAATCTATCACTGCCATGCTCGACCAGCTTCTGTATGCACATATAGCTGCCTTTCACGAGTGCCCAATGTAGCGCGGTGAACCCCATTTCGTCGGTTGCGTGTACGTCGGCACCGAAGCGTAGCAGCACGTCAATGCAGGCCGAGAAGCCCTTGTATGCTGCCCACATGAGTGATGTGTGTCCTTGAGAGTCCGTTATGTCCACTGGAATGTCGGGATGGTGCAGCAGCATGATAAGTTGGTATACATTCCCGTCCAATGTTGCAGAATGAAGGAGGTTGTAGCCTTGGTCATCTCGAATCAAAGGGTCGGCACCATTGGCAAGTAGCAGCGATATAACCTGGAGATTGAAGCGCTTACTAGCCCACAGCACCGGCGTCGCTTGAGCATCGCCGCCTTTCGCATTCACATCGGCCCCAGCTTGTATGAGGAAGTGACACAGAGCATGATGTCCGTTGATGGCTGCCCACTGCTTTCACATCAGCACATCTTCTACACGATCTCTTGGTCTGCTCTTTCCCCACATGTAAAGCTGTGATGCCCTGGTCGTCCGTCGACTTGGCACTATATCTCCCGCTGTCGAAAAGTTTCTGTATAGCCCGCAACTCTCCCAGTCTCGCCAGTTGCATCAGATCCTGCTCGATGGGCAGCTGCGGCGGGCTTGAGTCAAGATCGCTCAGCTCAACTTTGTCCAGCTCATCTTTGCCTGGCGAGTTCGGCGCGCTGCCAGAAGCTCTTCGTCCAGGCGATTCGGGAGGTTCGGTCGCGGGCATGGCGGAGGGTGTTGAAGTGGAAGAATGCTGCTATCGCGGTATGAACATGATCTGCGATTTGTACAAGACCAGAGGGAATTGGGAACAGGGCGCTCTCGTATAGTAGTGCTGGAACTTGCGCTTGGAGGATTGGATGGCGCAGCGCAGCGCAGCGCAGTTTGCAGTTTGTGGCTGGTGGCTTGTACACGCGTTTATGCTTTGAATCTAGCAGGGATTTAAAATGCTTGTGCAACCTTTCCGGACGCTTACCTAACGTTGCTTTCCTCCTTGCCCTATTTTTTCCACCATCACATGAGGCCAGGCCTTCAACATGGTCATTAACAACTCCTCACATGCAGTATGCTGGGATCGAGGCCTACCACACCGCGAGCATGGCAGGAAGCAGCTTGCAGAGCTGGAAAACGCGACCCAGGTGAGGGAGAGGGAGGCGATTTCACACGTCCACTGCGCAAGCTCCCGCGACTCTCACGAATCTATCACAGTCATTGGCATTGGTTGAGGTATCGCTCGCATGGTTAGGGACAGCATCTCCCAGGACGATGCAAATTGAGCAAGCGAGCACAATCTTCTAATTATAGCGGAGTATCATCTGCCTAGCTGACTTGGAATATCGATCATATATCCACCTGTCGTCTTCCCATATGGCTTCTATCAGCGCCTACGTTCGTTCCGTCCAACAAATGCGATTCTTAGACGTAGCTCACGCATAATTTTGGAGTCAGCTACGCCAGGAACTTTCCTAATGGTCCGGCTTTCCCGCATTGCAACTGGTCTGCCCGACCACGCTGTCTCTACGGCGTAGACTCTGGTCAAGAGGCTGTGTCAAATTGTCCTGGAGGCCTGGAGCACTCTTCTGCAATCCGCTGGACCTTTTACGAGCCTTTGTCTTCGTGAGCAGGAGCTCAATAAGATTTGCTCGAGCCAGCTGCAGTGCGTTCGCCGCACCAGAAGTCTCTTGCTGGGTGTCGAAGGGCTGGTCATGATCGAGGCGTGCATCTCTGACCGAAATAAGTCCATGCACACCCCGACTGCCTTTGGAACTGGTCAGTCTCTGCTGAGGCTCGTATCCGATGAGCATCCTCCTCGTATCCAGGTCTGGTCTTGGCTTCACGGACAGTTCGTCGACAAAACAGTCCTCCGTCTCGGCACTGTCTACAGCTGCACCAAGTGGGCTTGATCTCGGTTCGCATTGTCTTCGAGGTAGCTTTGTTTTCTTTGCAGCGAGTGCATCACTCCTGCAGAGCTGTTCTAAATCTCTTAGCTTCTGCTTGTGCTCTTGGACGACCAGCTTCGTGTCGAGCTTTGTATCATTGATCTTGTCAATGACATCAGCAACTAGAACGTTCTTCTCTCTTTCCTTCCGGCAGACGGCACACTCTGCAGGAATCCGGTGTGTAATGGCGCCGTCGTCTTTGCATGGTCGCATGGCACTCCCTCTTCGAATCTTGCAAAAAGCTCTGCTTCCGTTGGCTTGTTGCTTGTTGCCCAAGCAGATACTCAGGACGTGTTGATGCAAGCAACCGCACTCGTACTGGACGAATCTATGGTGGCACATCTTCGATACAATCTTCTCTTCCCTTCGTTGCGTACATGTGCTTGCTGAAATCAGATAGGTGTAAGATGGTTTGCTGTCGGCGATCCAGCTCAGCAGGGGGATCTGTTAAAAGCTTGTCCGTCTGAAAGAACAACGCAAGAATTCAGTATGTTATAAGCTCGTTCTCGAGCTATGTCCTCAGCAAATCGCAGAGTTCTGATGTTTCTATTGGAAGTATTTTTGGTTGGATCGCTGGATCAGCACAAAAGTCAACAAAAGAGTCAGCTACGAAATATACAAGGGAATGAAAGTATACACTCTTCACGAGATGTTCTTGGAGATTCGCATGCGCCTATGACCCGTCGCTCTTGAGTGAATGGGTGGAGCCGGTCACACAACTGTCGGCGGCCAGGTCTTGCACGAGCTGAATTTTGGTAAGCAAGAATAGCTTCAAGCACATGCGGCTGCTCACAAGAAAGATTTTTAGTACTGCCTGAGGCTGCGCTAGTCAGCACATGTCCTCACGCAGGTGGGTCCGGTATGATTTTAAATATTTCTTATCGCGCCGACCAGCACAAAAAGAAGTTCTCCGCACCACAAATCTACCTCAAAGCAACATAGATTGCTCGAAACTGATCGGACTGCAAGAGAACATATTCTGCGACAACGCTACAAAGCCACTGCAAGACCACTCTGCAGACAAACGTCGTCGCCGCCGCCGCCGCACAACCACAAAGCAAGACACAAGATACCATTGCACGTTCGCCAAAATGTGCAAAATACAACAAAGGATCTACAAGTGCAATCACAGCTCTGAGCACCACATCAGCAATTGCCTAAACCACACGCCATGCAATGCGCAACAAGCTTGGAGTGGCTACGCCGAAGTCATCATCTGGATGGCCCTTAAGTGCCCCACATGCCAATTCGAAGCTCAAAAAGCCAAGTACATGAATGAATATATGGATGCGATGTGCTCGACACGGGATCTCCGAGCCAGAAATATGGCAAGGACGAGGCGCGATGACCTGACTGAGGCGCTTGAATTGAGGTATCCACAAATGCCACTCATAATCAGCCAGAAAAAGCGACCTGGTCTCAGGAAGCATCTGGAGTTCGGGCCCAGACGATCGCGGCTCTGTCAATCCATGACACCTGATGATTGCGAGGTCAAGCGGCCGTTTGATATTAATATTACCGATGATGTGGAAGCCGAGGAGAGCCAGGAGGTCGGTCCGGATGGCGAATGTCATGACGTTCCCATGTCGGACGTTGAGAATTGCATTCGAGCTGAGGTCCACGAGAAGCCAAACGTGAATGACGCGCAGCAAGGCGCAGATGACGAGGATCAGGAGAATGACCGATCAGCCGAGACTTCGACTGCAGCAGAATATCAGCCCGCTGTAGAGCTCTCACCAACCAGACCGACCATCGCGAAAGTGGTATACTGGAAGCGGAAGGACGGCGTTAAAGAGATCCGCGACTACTGGAAAGAAAAGGAGAGTCCAAAACTCCCAACGACGTGTCAGTCTGCACTGCCAAGTCTCACGGCATGTCAAGCGGCAAGGATACCGCCGAGCGGAAACGAAGAGATGTACGACTCGAGGTGGAGAGGCAGCGATGGCATGAGAGTCAACTCTCTTGGCAACGCTGAGCAGCCTCGTCACAAGCCATTACGCCCCGACAACAGCAAGAAATCCGAGAACCCGATGAGGGAGTACTGGCGGCGGAGAGATAGTGGCGAACAAATGTGGTGAATGCTGCGAGCTGTATGCTTTTCGCCTCGATGCGGCCATTGTGCTTTACCACATCAGCTGAATTAGGCCACTAAGACGCGATCTAAGTGGTGGCAGCTGCTGTACTTTCTACGAGGCGGTGCTGAGCAGGAAGGGAATCGGAGCGGATGATGTTCTGCAATTTCAGCATTAGATGGGCCGCGATAAGCGGAAGACTGCTGTTCATGTAGAGGTTTTCATCATAGCTACGTTAATACAAGCACTATCCAACTTCAACTCTTGCGTGCGCATCTTAGTGTTGTGGTTCCGCTTCCACTACAAGCGCCTCGGTGAGCTTGTTGTGGATGAAATCGCTGTGCCGCACTTGTTGTTCCAGTACAGAGAGGTGGCACCTTTTCAGGCCAAACGTGGGATCATCTGGCCTCCTGAATGACGCCCGCATCGAGAGATAAATCGGTAAGGCTTGTGGCTTGCAGAGTCCAGACTTGGTATCACCAACAATGGCACCACTCGAGCCATTCTGACTGTTTTCTGGCGGCCGTGGTCCTGAGAGCCTTGCTGTGCTGTCGCTCAACTGATACTGTCATACTGCGACGCTTCCGCCGTGGTGGTCCCAAGCGGGTCAGGAGTTGTGCTTGGAGTCACTATAACTTTCCGCGATAGGACATGCTCCGAACTCCTTGGCCACCACTCTCTACCTGCTGCGTGACCACGCTGTCGTGATCTTGGACCGTACGAGCTGTCACAATCAACTCACTGCGACACCGGAAATTTGAACATCCGCCTGGTATATTGCATTGGCTGTATATATATTTATTGACGTGCGGCTCCCGAACAAAGCTCGCTGCCGGCCCGGACCTGCGTCAAGGTTGCCCTGCACTGCACATCTTGTCCTCCTTTGAATGCTAGTCAGAACCCTGCGAATCCGAGACTGGACCTTGCATCTGTTATTGTTTAACGACGAGCGACTTCACCTTAAGCTTTTCCGTCCGCCCAACGTCACCTTATTAAGTGGCACGTCTTCTTCACGCCCGCCTCAAGACAGCCACAGCCATATCAACCACCGAATATGAGCGCAGCCGCACAGATTCTGGAAAGGGACGACTTCCGGCGAAGACGGCGTCGCGTAGCTAAACAGGTCCTTACCGATCTCCGGGAAGCTCTCAAGGTCGATGAAATCAGTGACCATGCCATTGACTCGGCCATTGAGGCCCTCAAATCAGTCCAGAGCTTCGACGACACCAAGTCCAATGGCGCCAAAAAGATGCTAACACACAAGCGATCCGTGAGTGATCCCAACATGCCACTGACCATCTGGATGCGGCTGCGGCACTCCGCCAAACCTGTTCGTGCATACCGAGTGCAGACACCAGATGCTCTAAGCTCAGTCACACCACTAGGAGCCATAGACGCATCACTCATCCTACCCAATGTGGCACGTGGAGTCTCCGACAACAAACTCCGCCAACTGGTCATGGACCACCTCAACGGCTCCCACAACGGCAGTCCCTTCATCTCAATCTTCACCAACGAGCAACACGCCCAACAATGGGCACTAAACTGGAGCGAAAAAAACGGCGATGAAATCTGTAACCTCACCACCCTCGACGTATCAAAAATCACCAGACTTTTCAGCGTCAAAGAACTCGTCACACTCCTGGGCCTGAAATCCGACATTTCTACTACAAAATCTGATAACTCCTGGGAACATGAGTATTTGGTGGTGCATCAAATTCCTTCGGAAGCTATTATTAAGAAACAGAAGATGAGGAGTCATCTTGGGTATTTGGGGACTGCGCCCGAAGACTCGGGTGCTGAGACTTGGAGTTCGAATGTGCTGAGGAGGAGTATTAGTGTAAGACATGCGAATGGATTGGCTGTGCAGCCTGCTGATGTATGTCTTTGCGAGCGACATGACGATGGAGTGGAGCGACGACTGACAGATTTACAGATTGATGAGGGTAATGGATCTATCAGAGAAGACAGCCCGAGGGATGATGAAGCATTTATCGAGCGACTGGTTTCATCTTACCAACTTGACCGTGTAATGGAGACATGATGATGATGATAATTATGATAATGAGTTTAACGGGAATGTATGACATTACAATGGACCTGCTGACACCGGCTGTTGCTGCATTGCAGTATTCATCCTTCTTTTCTAGCGCCTCGCGTCTTCTTCTCTCGACGGCAGTAATATGAACCTATTTCCTCGCGCAGGCATGAGCGTGTCTAGAGCGCTACTTGAGACCATCGCCTGGAACTTCTCAGCAGAGCCATCAGGGTCGTAAATTTCCAGCACGTCTCGAGAGGACCCTGCACTGATCCCAGGAAACTCTTCCATCAACTGAGCTCTTACTTTGGACAGTGGACCTGACACAGGACTGGACGCATTCCGGGCTATGGCAAACCATGTTCATGCCTCTATGTGAGCTTTTCTTCTGCATAAGTATCTCATCTCTCGTCTCAAAGGTACATGCTTCTCGAACCGAGCCCAGCCCAGTCGTGAGCACACTGCAGTGCCACTTATTAGCACAAGACATCTTCAAAGCTTTGCTGTCTCCCTGACATCCAAATTTCCCTTCTCCTTAATTCATGGGATTCCACCCATCTTCTTGAAGGCGTTGATGAGCCCTGAAGTCGAGCTGTCGTGCTTGCTGCTCTCGCCTGCGTTGTCGAGCTCGCTTTGAATGTTCTTGGCAAGAGCCTTGCCGAGCTCCACACCCCACTGGTCGAATGAGTTGATGTTCCAGATAGCACCTTCAGTGAATGTGACGTGCTCGTAGTAAGCAATGAGTGCGCCGAGGGCACCAGGTGTGATCTTCTCGGCAATGATGCTTGTGGTTGGGCGGTTACCCAAGAACACCTTGTGTGGCACAAGCTCGTCGGCAGCGCCTTCCGCCTTGACAGTGTCTGGGGTCTTTCCGATCATGAGAGCCTCGGCCTGAGCGAAGAAGTTCGATGCAAGCATGTGCTGGTGCTTGTTGTTCTCGACGGGGTTGTGCGACTTGGCGGCGATGATGAAGTCGGCTGGGATAAGCTTCGTGCCCTGATGCAGAAGCTGGAAGAAAGAGTGCTGTGCGTTCGTGCAAGGCTCGCCGAAGAGGATCGCTCCAGTCGTGTATTTCACGTAGTCGCCGCTTCGAGTGATTGCCTTGCCGTTAGACTCCATAGAGAGTTGTTGGAGATATGCTGGGAAGCGGTGCATGTACTGGTCGAATCTACGAAGTAATGTCAGTAAATCGATTTGTGTATTATGTAGGAAAAGTTACTCACGGAGAAACGAGATGTGTCTGAGCACCGAAAAAGTCAGAGTACCACACACTGAGCAGACCTCCGATGACTGGGATGTTCTCCTCAAGCGGAGCAGTCTTGAAATGGTGGTCCATGGCGTTTCCACCAGCAAGGAATTGCCTGAAGTTGTCGAAGCCAATGTATAGCGCGACAGAGAGGCCGATGGCGGACCACACAGAGTATCGGCCACCAACCCAGTCGCTGAAGCCAAACATGTTCTTGCTGTCGATGCCGAACTTCTCGACCTCCTTGGTGTTGGTCGAGAGAGCAACGAAGTGCTTTGCGACATCGCCTTCGCTAGCCTTCTCGAGGAACCACTTCTTTGCTGAGGTGGCGTTGGTGACGGTCTCTGCGGTGGTGAAAGTCTTGGATGCGATGAGGAAAAGAGTGGTCTCGCGGTTGCTGTCCTTGAGCGCCTCAGCGATGTGGGTGCCATCGATGTTGGAGACGAAGTGGAGCTTCATGCCCTGCTTGCCGTATGGCTTGAGTGCCTCAGTGACCATGACTGGTCCGAGATCTGAGCCACCGATACCAATGTTGACGATGGTGTCAATTGGCTTGCCCGTGTATCCTTTCCAGTCACCAGAGCGAACTTGCTCAGTGAACTCCTTCATGTGGTCGAGCACCTCGTTGACGACCTCAACCACACTCTCGCCATCGACCTGCATTGGGTCGTTCTTGACGTTTCGGAGAGCCACGTGGTAGACAGCACGGTTTTCGGTGAAGTTGATCTTCTCGCCCTTGAACATGTCGTCTCGCAGCTCCTCGAGCTTGGCCTCCTTTGCCAGCTTGACGAGGAGCGGAAGGGTCTCATTTGTGAGGAAGTTTTTGGAGAAGTCGAAGAGGATATTGCTGCCGTCGGCCTCGTTGGCGAAGGTGCGGCTGTACTTTTGGAAGCGTTGAGGGTCTTTCTCGAACTCGCTCTTAAGCACCATTCCACGACCCAGCTTGTCGTGGTGCTCCATAAGCGCCTTCCATGCTGGCAACTCGTTTGCCTGCGCGAAACCGGGCATCTTGGGCGGTGCTTCTCAGTGGTCAGGGGTTTCTCAGTGATGATCTATGTGAGTAGCGACGTCAATTCTCTCACTTCTCACTTCCATAATGCTGCCGCTGCTGCCGCTGCCGTTGCCGCTGCCGCTGCCGCTGCCGCTGCCGTGCTATGGCGCTTGAGTGTACTCAACTCACCTTCGTGATGGAGGCGTTTCAGTCTCCAGATGCTGTGATGTTGCTGATAGACGCAAACGGGAAAAATGAGGATTTGGCGCAGAATGGATTGCAAAGTGCGAATGTGTATCTGCAGGTGAGCTTTTGAAAAGTTTCGAGAGCGGTCTGTGACGTGAATCGAATCTCCCCCCAGTCCCCAGTCCCAATAGAAATAGAGGGGCAACGCATGCGGGACCCCTCCGACACAGCTTTGGAAGGCGTTAGTCAGGCAGAGAACGGCAACCGCAACCACAATGAATTTCACCCGCCACGAGCCGGTGCTGGTGCTGTATCTGATTATGCGTGCACTGGGACAGCTTTCAAACGCCGATGGAAAGCCGAGAACAAATCGTCAAGATAGAATATTCCAATGCTTGCTTTCGCATTTCTTCAGTGCCCCAGATGCCTGCTGGACGCCAAAATCGCTGCCGACTTTTCACCTAGCTACGCTGGCTTCGCGGCCGTCTAGAAGAGTACCTTACTAACCACAAATGCCTCCCATACGCCCATCGCAGATGAGTAATGGTTCCGTCGACTTCCGCCCACAGCTGCTGCTCGGCCATGCAAATCACAGCGCTTGCGGGAACTTCTCGTGTATGATTCGAATCCGCGCCTTTTTCGCTTTCCTCTTCCTTGTCCTACACGAACAGCCTTTCTACCTCTGATCGAATGCATTGCCACGCGCGATACTTCCTCCTGCATCTCCAAGGCCTTCAACAGGACGGTTGTACGACCATCCTGCGAACTGCTGCTGCATCGTTTGCGACAGCATAGGCCCATCTACATAGCTGTCCGTAGGTGCTTCCGACGTGAACTCCTTGTCGAAGTTGGCAGTGTCGAGCTCATCAACCACGCTGGGCTTGAAGCTGGGCTCATATTTCCGATCGAGAAGCTTGCGCCAATCTATGCTGTGGAAGAATGGATGCGCCTGTAGCGGGTCAGTAACTATGTTAAGGTTACGTGTCTGCAGAACCTACCTTGATCTCCGCAGCGCCATTGGTGCCCAGTCTCCTCGTTGCATCGCGATCAAGAAGCTTTTGCAGTAGGTCTCGTGCAGCTGGAGGCACAATCTCAGGTCCGGGGAAATGCAGCGGTTCCGATAGAATCTTGCGGTACATCTCGTTCGTGTTCTCGTCGTAGAATGGGGGTAGTCCAGTCAACATCTCGTACAGCAGTACTCCGAGTGTCCACCAATCCACCGCCTTGGTATATCCTTGGCCGTGGAGCAATTCTGGTGCCAAGTACTCGGGTGTTCCACAGAAAGTGTTGGTCTTGTCTTCGTCCTTCATGTCCAGCTTGCACAAGCCAAAGTCACAAAGTGCAATATGGCCCACATAGTCGACAAGAATGTTTTCGGGCTTCAGATCACGGTAAATGACGCCAAAGCCGTGTAGGCATTCTAATGCGCATAGGAGCTCGGCCGCATAGAATCGTGATCGGTTGATGTCGAAGCGCTGTTCCTTTTGCAGGTGGTGGAAGAGTTCTCCGCCGTTGACGAATGCTAGCACGAGATAGAGCTTGTCGGGCGATTGGAAGGAGAACTTCAGTGGCACGATGAAAGGATTGTTGATTTGCGCGAGGACCGATCGTTCTGCAAGCGTGTGCGCGACTTCGGATCTTGAGATGATGTGCTGCTTGCGAATGGTCTTGAGGGCGTAGATACGGTTAGTATCCTTCTTCATCACCTGCATAACCTTGCCGAAGCTGCCTTTGCCAACGACCTTGAGCAATTCAAAGTCCTCCACCTTGAGAGATCGCTGTCGGTTCTCGACAAACTTGACGCCAATTCGGATGCTACCTGTGCCAAATTGTATTTCGTGCCAGTTGACACCAGATACTTGACCATTGGTCGACTGCTGAGGTGGTGGCATCGTTTTGTCCTTTTTGCTGCTCTTTCCGTCTGAACTTGAGGCTGGCTGCGTTGCTCCAGATTGTGCGTCTTCGCTGAAAGTAGGGGTGATGCGAACTGTGCCAATGAAGATATCTCGAGCTCTTCCAGAATTTGCAGGTGCACTTGGGTTACGGATGTACAAGGAGATGTTCATTTCAGTCGATCGACTGACATCAAACTTGTACTGCGTGCTCTCCCCCGCCCAGACTGGGCTCTCGGGTGTGCCTGAGACAGAATTGACGAAGACCTGCTGTTTGTCGAAGTCCACAAGGGCATATGGCAAGTATTTGCTGCTGTATCGACCGTGTACCGAGGGCATGTTATTGATGCCACCGCCACTGGCAGACGTCGGTCTGAAGCCTCCCTGAGCAGCACTTGACCCTGGACGTGCACTGTTGCCCATATAGCTCCCCGCAAATGATCCTGTGCTCATACTGGCGCCATGGCCTGGTCGCTGTGCAAACATTTGTTCGGCCTCTGGCGGTAAGCTGAACCCCTTACCCTCGTGCAGCGTCAGGATCAAGATGCCAGGTTTCGCGGGTGCGGCAATGGCGGTGGCCATTTGCTCGGAGGCCTGAATGCCCTGCGGGTCGGAGCCATTGGAGGCGGTGGTCGTCTGCGAAAGCGGCGTCGAAGTTCCTGGGGTGGCTGTCGCCGAGGGCGACTTCTGCGGCTGGTCGACGATGGTGGATTGTGAGGATGAGCGGGAGAAGGTGTTGGAGAAGGGAGCGCCGAGATGGGTCTCCTTGAGTTCTGGAGCGTGTCAGTCTTACTCGGGTTTGCTTGGCCGGCGTGGCCGCCTACTTTTGGTCAATTTCCACGACATGATGTCTGCTGTCGGTCTGCAAGATGTTGTCGCTCGAATTGGGCAAGATCAAGACGAGTGGCGGCAGGAAGTTGGAGTATGCCACCTCTGGCGCACGTGGAAGACCGGCGGACCCTTCTAACCGGGTAGATGACGATCCTATGGGGAGGCGAGGCGAGGCGAGGCGAGGGCGATGTGGGCGATGTCGAGGCGCGAGGGAATTGATGGTGTGGCGATTGGCACGAGAAATACTGGCGACGGGCACAGCCAACGTCTGGTCTGGTGTCGTATCTCTTGCGGTGCCTGGTAGTCAAGCGGCGTCGGTAGCGGCGTATCTCGACTACAGCACAGCCCACTCCGCCTCCTATGGCTGGCAAGCTTGGCAAGCTGGAAACCTGCCTTCCGAGGCCCCGTCCTAGTCAAATCAGTTGCCCACCGCAAATAATTGCAAATCAGAGCTTGCAGCCGCGATAGTTCCAGAGTGGAAAAGGAGCAGGGGAATAATGTTTAACTTAAAGTGGGAGATTGAAAATAGAAGCCCGCGCGCGCTTCCGCTTCGAGAAAACGCCAACACGACGCTTGCGCCTCGAGGGGAACGGGCACAGGCACAGGATTCTGCCATTCTGGCACTCAGGAGGCTGGGCTGTCGACCAGACCAAGTCAAGATGAAACTCTTGGCGTGCCAGTAGGGCTGACGGATACGATAATAGTATGCAGCATGCAGCGCCTGATCTGATTAGGTGCAATGGAATGATCTATGCCTTCTCGTCTTGGTGTTTGAAGTTCTGCTGTCTACGTTCACCTGCCAGATGCCCCCTACGCCAAGGGGAGCCTGCTACAGCATTTTTCCCACGCATTTTCAGGGCACTGATTGTCCGTCAAATGATGCCAGTCTCAGCAGAACTTCGGAGTGGATAGTAGAACCAGAACTGGCCAAGGCGACCGCTCTTCGGGCCGAGCTGTAGCCTGTCGCTGTGGAGAAGCCGTCCTCCGCGTCTCCCTCGCTCGACCTCACCTTCCAGCAGCCACCAGATGCGCGCCAACATGCGACACCCCTAGGCAGCTCAGGGTTTCTGTCACAAGCTTGATGAAATCATCGAGTCTTCGCGCATGATTTTCTGAGTATGCTCATAACGTAACATGGGTCTTATCAACAAAGCGAAGGGTGCGCCACGCTCCGAGGGCAGCTCTGGCGGCGGCGTCAAGTACATCTGCAACGTCTGCAGTAACGACATCACAGCGACAGTGCGCATCCGATGCGCCAGCAAAAGCTGTCCCGACTACGATCTGTGTGTACCATGCTTTTCGAAAGGAGAATCGAACCTGCACCACAACCCGCGAGAACACCCATACCAAGTCATCGAACCGCATAGTATACCCATCTTTGACGAGGACTGGGGCGCCGATGAAGAACTGCTGCTACTAGAAGGCGCGGAGCAGTATGGGCTCGGCAGCTTTGCAGACATCGCAGACCATATTGGCGGGTACAGAGAAAAAGATGAAGTGCGCGACCACTACATTCAGACATATATCAATTCGTCAAAATTTCCGCTACCAGAGCGCGCGAGTCCGAGTGACAAGCGCTTGAGCGACGAGGTACCGCGAGAAGAGTTCCAGCAGCGGAAGAAGAGGCGGATAGAGGAACGCAAGGAGGCCATCAAGGCGGCAGCAGAAGTCGCAGCAGCTCCCGCCAAGCCCACGTCCAGTGTCCCAAGCTGCCATGAAGTCGCCGGATATATGCCGGGTCGGCTAGAGTTTGAAACCGAATACTTCAACGATGCCGAAGAGGCAGTCCAGCACATGCAGTTCTCTCCCGAGGAAGGCCTCAACCCCATCACGAAACAATTCGATCCGGAGACCGAGCTGAAGATGGTTGTCATGACAATCTACAACGACAGACTTACGGCGAGAACGGATCGGAAGAAAGTAATCTTCAATCACAGGCTTTTGGAGTATCGAAAAAATGTCGCCAACGACAAGAAGCGAACCAAAGAGCAGCGGGATCTGCACCAAAGGCTTAAACCGTTCGCGCGAATCATGTCACATCCTGACTTTGTCACATTCTCGGAAGATCTGGAAAAGGAGCAAAATTTGCGACAAGCCATCGCACAGCTCCAGGAGTGGCGTCGCATGAGGATCTCGACCCTTTCCGCAGGCGAAAAATATGAAGAACTGAAAGCTCAGCGGATAGCAAGGCAGTACCCGCAACCAGGTCAATTCGATCGTTTGAGTAATGGTATACGGCCAAGCAAGCCGTCAGACAGGAATCAGCCTGCGCCGGAGATTGCGCCTGCCGTGATCGAGTACACAACGAAAGCAGATCTCCCGGTGCGGCTGTCGAGCGACAAGAATCAAGTGAATGGCATGCCAAATGGCGAGGTGCCAAAACGACAGCCTCTTCAACCAATACCTAATCTTCCCCCGGCGAATTGGGATGAGGACTCTGCACCTGACTTCCAGCTTCTAACATCTCCCGAGCAAGATCTTTGCAATAAATTGAGGTTGCATCCGAAAGCCTACATAGCCATCAAGGATGCCATCTTCAGAGAGGCAATGAAAAGTGAAGGCAAGCTGAAGAAGAAGAATGTGCGTGAGATTAGCAAGATTGATACCACGAAAGGCGGAAGGATCTTCGAGTTCGTGGTAGAGCAAGGCTGGTTGGGAAACGCTGCGAAAGGATAGGAGCACCAAAGCAGCGAGTCAGATCCAGCTCAATCCATCTTCCAGACATAATTGAGGTGCCAGCAGCGATTAACAGCCCAGAGCCGAGCGCCTGCCCGGAAACAATAGACGACTCAGACACGCCGTATGAAGCAGACTCGGATTACGATCCAGGTGGAAGCATTGCAACAGAAGCAGGCAAGAAAGTCGAGAAAGCCGTTGACTAATGTCAACACACGGAACAGCAAGAAAGACAACCTCGCGGCAGCTATCCGTGCTTGGAAACTGCGCGCGGTAAAGTGTTCGAGCTTGGCCATCTTCTCCGTCGCCACCAGCAGATCGTGCACCCGAAGGAGCGGCTCTATTGTTGTGAGATGTGCCGTAAAGCGTACAATAACCAGTCAAATTTGGCCGACCATAAGAGAAACTCCAAAAAACACAGAGCCCTGCAACTGACAGCATCTGCTGAGCCCCCAGCAATTCCCGAGCCCCAGAACGCAATGTCTCACCGCGGGCTCACAGTAGATGCTCAACCGCGCGGCACATACGTCTGCTTGCGTGGTGGATGCGGAAAGGTGTTCCCCAGCTGACCTTGGAGCGGCAAGCGCTACGAATATTTCACGAATAGATACGAAATAGCACTAGACGAATCCAAAGCTCAAGTAACACGTGACTACTTTCTATCAAATTCTGAAGGCAGCTGTCCATGCCAGGAAGAGCAAAGTGCTGGTCAATGCCATCTTTAATGGCAACCGAATTCGTATCACAATCGCATTGTTCTTGTACTCGAACTGTACTCCCTTCCACCACTTGCTTGCTAAAGGCATCCCAATTGCTAAACCGAAAACTCATGGTCCTATGCTGCAATTCTCGGAGGGAGAACAGCGAGACGAGGCTGTGGTGTCAGCGTCTTCCATACTTCTACTCCTTGAACATCTCAAATTGCCCAGAGCTTACTTTCCAACCCTCAAAATCCTCCAAATCCAGATTCCTGGCCTTGAACGCACTCCAACTTAAAAGCCCTCGCCTCCGGAATCGAAATACACACCGATCAGACTCATGTCTAAAAACCTCCTTGTGATTCACCCGGGCACAGAAACTTATTAGAAGCCGCCGGTTTCCACGCAACCCTTCCGTTGTTCATCACTCACCTTCTCAACCCTCCCTAATCCCCCACAGATGATACTACAATCACCTGATCACGAGCGAATCGAATTAGCTTGGAGGTGGCCTCTTCCCCTTGTGTCTTCCCCCCCTTACCATATTTTTCAGGATTCCTCTCAAGATCACGATCACTGAACTGCCATTTAAAAAAACGAATCGCTTCACGATTTCGGTCCGTGTGTTTACATGGATCGTCGAAATTTAGGTGTAATTTGTGACGTTGATGGAAGCTCGAGAAGCGGGGATATGAACTTCAGGTGGTGAGGCGCATTTTGGAGATGATGAAGGAAGCTGATAGGGGAGAATATGAAGAATTGGGGGTATCGTGGTGGTGGCCAAGATAAGGCAAAGTCGCAGCCTGATTCGAGTTGTCAGAGTTGTTGGCACACGAGGGAGAGCTACCATCAGAGCAGCCTTGTCTTGGCTAGGCCACCTGGCAGCACCAGAATTTCTGCACGCATATATATTCCTGTGCTAGACAGTCCTCGCATCTCTCGAACGATAATAGCCTCACCCAACTACATCATAATGCGTTTTCAAAATTTCGTTACGGTCCTTGGGACTGTTATGTGAGTATGCTACGGTTAAACGGGAGACAGCAGTAGAGTCCCGCCCCTCCAAGCATCGCTGATCATTCCCAGGTGCTTCATAGGCATGAGCTTCACCACGATGACCCAGACCTCTGAAGACAGCCTTGTCGCGATGAACCAAACCTCAGAAGCCAGTCTGGAAGTTGGCGACGACGCCAAGGGGAAGTGGGAGGTAGTATTCTACGTCTGGTATCACGGCTCCCTAGACAAAAGATGCAAGCGCACTAGCTGGAGACGCCACCTCGAACTCGAGCCAGGCAAATGTTCAAACGTCAGATGGAGTGATCATAAAATCCGACAATTCTTCTATAGTACATATATGGGACCGGGAGATTGGCCTTGGGATGAACTCGAGAAGTTGGGTGAGTGGTGTCTTATCCCGAGCGAGTTCGAAAACTTTGCGCTGATGGCGCTAGGCAATTGTGACCTCACAGTATTCTCGGAGGAACATTGCACGGGTGAACAGGTTAAGAAACTGGAGAAGGTTAGTGTTGTGCGAAGAATCTTGGACGATGGTGGCTGACCTGATGGATGTAGATCAATCGCAAGGAGACTTACGCCGTGGACAACCATGATTGCGAGCACTTAGATCACAGGGAACAGGTGGGGCGGAGTATGTCGCTGATGTGCACTCCGTGTTGAGGAATCCCCTAAGCATGTCTTCGTGAGAAGAATCGTGGGATTACTCCGTGTCATCCCATGAGAGAGCGTGGGTATGAGGCGGAAGTGTGCCATGTGCCGACCGACATACCTTAGCCGTGCTCCTGCGGTTTCGTTGAAGAAGGGCACATCATTGGAGGCTGAAAGAATGCTGTGCTCGTTCTAGCATGTTAGAAGATAGGCGAAAAGAGTTTTCTCGCAAAGCAAAGCCCATGATACTCATGAACCAGTCCATGTATCATTTAAGGCTAGCCAATGCTCCAGTCATGATCTCCCTTTGTCAACGATCTGTGCCATTGTTAAAATGTAAAGCACGAGGCGTAACATCTCGATCTGTAATCGGGGTATATACCAACGCCGGACACCAACGCTAAAGCTCAAATCAATGCATCCTCAGAAATTGACACACGAACCGGAGAAAGAAAGCACGGATGCTTTCCTCACTTCTAGTCGCGTGCGTAGCTGATCTTCCCACGTTTCGAGTTCTTGCCATCTTCATCGTCGTCCTTGTCATTCGGTCTCTTTTTCTTATTCGGTGCTTTGACCGATGATCCGCCAGGCGTAGGAGCGTTCGAATCTCGAGCCGAAAGTGGTGGTGCGAATGAGGCTGTGGGTGTGGGCGCGTGAGACGGAGTGTTAGAATCTGGCCCTTCTTGTGCCTGCCCTGTTATCAGTATCGCGATTTGCCACTCCTTGGATATCACATGCTACACACCCTCATCCAGGCCACTGAGCTTCTCGAAAACACCCTGTCCTCATCTCGTACACGACCTCTTCGCCTGTCATCTGCTGCGCTCCTTCCGAGCTGAACTCCCTTGACCCAGCCGTCGAAACCGCGCACAATATTGCCTGAGTTTGCCGTGTCTTCAAGGTATGCGCTTTCTTGCTTGAAGATGTTCTCTTCAAGCTGCGCAAGCTGCTCGTCCAAACGTCGCTTCTTTTCCAAGGTCTGGCGCAGTGTGGCTCGCAGCGATTCGTAGTATGGTCGGCCGGGTTGATCTGCGGCGGCGCTGTTGGTGTCTTTCGCAGAGCTTGGATGCACGTTCTCGGACATCTTGAGGAATACTTATAGGCTGACTCGGGCTCTCGTTGACTATGTGCACTGTATAGCTTAACGCGATGTCGTGGTCGCGTCCAAGAGTCACGACTTCTGTCGACTTGCCACAAGTCGTTGTATCAAATGCACATCCAACAAGCTGAAGCACCTGAAATTTGCAAAATGATGTTGTGGTCGACACCTCCCTCAAGCTACGTTCCCACTACTCGCGATGCAGGACTGTAGGAAACGGGTCAAAGCGGCGCACAGCACGAAGGCTCGGATTTGCACCACGGCGAGGGGAGAAGATGCCAATTGGAGGCTCAGAGCAGGCTAGAGAGATGCCGGAACGTGCTCGTCTGAGAGATGCATATGAAGGTAGAACTTCTAACTTAGGGACCGATTTACACGGCGAGTGTGGCTAACCGTACAGCAGCGACGGCTCCTCCAGTCTAGCTCTTCGCCTTGTACTGAGCCAATCCCACAGCAACCAGCCACCAACAGTAACAATCATCAGGGGTATCGTAAGAGCAAGAAAGAACAAGAACTCCGGCCTAGCATCTATAATCAAGTGTCCACCCTCCGACCTGCTGATATCTAAACTATCCATGTCCAGGAAGCCACTCGTGAAGGTCGGCGGCAGAAACAGGAGCGTGACTAGTGCGATAATCCTGACGGCTTTCGCTTCGAGAATGGATCGCTCTGTCATGCGTTCCATGTTGTACGAACTTCGCAAGGAGATAAGGTTGCTGATCGTGGTGGTCGTCCTATCTAGCCGGCCGATGATGAGCTCGATCTGGTTGCGGTGGAATTGAAGTTCTTGTATGGCATCTTCAACTCCACTTTCGAACATGATCTGGTCACGATGGTCCTGCGAAGGCTTTTGCGCGTCAAGTACGACCTGTCTCCTCTTCGCCTCCCGAAGCGCCGATTCTAGGATGCTAATATTGTTCGCAAGCACATGGCTAGCTGACTGCAGGCGATCCATGAGCTCTACGCACATCTCCAGAGACCTATTGTCGGCTTCGTCGATCCGCTTCTTCTGAGGGTCCGTAAAGGTCGCGTTCTTCTTCTGCTCCTCTACTGCTTTGTGCAGCACAGCAATGTACGAAGGCCACTGTGCCGGCAAACTCGAAAACACCAGCAATGGCATTCGAAGCCAGTTCCGATATGGCTTGAGTGGTTCCTGACCCTCACGACAAGCAGCTTTCAGACTTGAGAATAGCTCCGCGGAATTATTGACGACGACAATGGCTTCGCTATTCGAGCCAATTTCGAAGCGCTGGTAGAAGGCCATTTGCCGGAGTGACCATCGCTGTACCTCACCGAAGCTTTGCTTTCCATCCGGCTTGGTGGACGCCTTGCGCTGATTCTGCTCTACGTACTTCAATAAGCAGCAGAGCTCCAGAAGCTTTCCATCCTGTGTGGGAGGACTCCAGTGAACATCAGCCTTGCCAATATAGCAATCGCTATCGTCGATTCTAAAGGCTGCAAGAGTCTTGTTCAGCGGTGTGAAGGGTTGCACATAGTCCAGCACAGTTCTGACGTCTCCGGAATCCGTAGTGATGGTGCTCCTGGAGTGCTTCTGCTCTACGATGAAAAGCTGTGTTCTGTCTATTTTGGGGCCACGTCGTAAGTTCTGGAGGTGTTCATCCACTGCTGTCGACGTTGTAGAAGGCGGATTGTTATTGAAAGAGGCGCCAACAAGCTGGGCCGTATCGCTGATCTCCCATGCTTTCACCTTGGCTGGAGCCGATCGTAGGCCACCTCCGACGGTATGTTGAGAAAGTGCAGAATCTATTCGACTGGCTGTTGTAAGCACCTTCTCATTCGTGCTGACGACTGGCGGGATTGGACTGGTCCTTGGAGAAAGTGGCACTGACATGGTAATGCAGAGTCAACACGATGTGAAGTCTCGCACACAGATGACTGCTTTCCTCAATGCTAATGATATCCAGATTACAGCGCGATCACAGCCTGCTTCGCTCAAGCACGCGAGCGACAATGCCCGTCCGCAGCTGATGTTGAGTGTCACACAATAGGCGAATGTGGCTGATGTCTCTACAGCCGAGTCTCGCCAAGAGGCCGCCCCATGCATGGCATGCAGCAGCACTGCCGCCGCCCACGCCACGCATGAACTCGCCTGTTCCACTAATCCCACTTCACCGGTTTGTTCTAACACCTCGGTCTTAGGTCTGCTGGCGGCCGCTGTTGCTGCTCTCAATCGTCGTTGGTCTTGCTACCGGTATTGTTCAAATCTTCAAGGAATCTCACATCCTCCTAAGAAATCTACTTTTAGTCCGACGCATTCACCGTAAATTTTTGTGGTTTTCAACAACAAACCTCAGGAATGTACGCAGCAGCCCATACTCGATGTATGCCTTCTGGAGAAGTCTTAAGGCACGGCAAATCAGCGACAGTTTCAGGTGCGTGTAGAGAGATAGATATACCACAACATCATAATTCTGAATATACCTCTTCCTCGCCCTGTCGTACTTCGTTGGATACAGTCGCTCCATGTAATCGATCACATCGCGTTGGTTCGCGTAGTGGGAGATGTCTGTATGTACCCAGGCTGCGCTAGAATTGATCAGGACCGATATGCTTGGAGTCCTGATCATCTTCGCAGCCTGAGGTGAGAAGGAAGCGAATAAGTTCAATAGAGGTAAAGGCGCAGGCGCAGGTGGAAGTGCTTGGAAAGATGGCCAGTCGCGAAGAGAGGATCGCCGGAAGATAAGGAAGCACAAGGGTGGAGGCCGCATGGCCATGCCGCTTTGGTCACGAGGTCTTTCATGCCTAGGCATCACCTCTTACGACTTGCGTTTGGTGTGATTCATACTCGCAAGGCTTCTGCTTTGCCATCTGGTTTGATATGAGTCAACTATGGTCACTCTCATGTTGTTTCACGTCGGAATCTTTGCAAAGTCTGTCTTCATGTACTCAATGATTGTGAAATTGACCGCAAGACAGGATTTTCGAGAGTAGGGTTCGCTGGAGCGAGATATTGAGGTGAAAAAGCCGGGTATGCATTCTCATTTTTCCGATGCGCAACGTATAAATGTGACGCTACATTCCGCCATTGCCCTCCTGTGCATTCTGCGGCGAGAAAACCCACAGCTAGGAGCTGCTATCGAATACCCTGTGCAGAACTCTTGCGCGTAGGCTTTCCTGATCCTTCAAACTGATGACATTGTAAGTCAAATAACTCTCGACGGGATGGCGATGCTCGCCGTCGACCTCTGCACACCAGTGACATACTCGGTCGGGATCACTGAAATCGTCGACACCATGCGTCTGCGCAGACAATTGGAAGCCAAGAGCGTCAAATATCGTGCGCGAGGTCTCAAAGTTGACAAACAGCATCCAGTAGCAGATTCCCGCTCCAAGTATGCCTATCGTGACGTACAGCAGGGTTTGGGAGTTTTTGACCACCGCAGCCACAATTATAGCAATGCTGAAAGTCGCGACAAGCAGCCCCAGGACCGATGGACCTATCCAAGGAGCGAACTTCGGCCTGAACCAAGATGCGGGCTCGCTAGTACGATCATGGCCGTCCTTGTCCATATGCCACTCGTGCGCCAGTGAGCGTAGTATAGGTCTGGGTCGGAATCCCCAAGCACCAATTGGGATGAAAAGGAGGGCGACAGCAGCTTTGAATATTCGTCAGTCTCCCCGATATACGATTTGAGATGTTGAAAATTTCTGCTCACCTTCTGCCCAAAAATGTCCGTACACAAGCAAATTCCCAGCGAATGATATGGCATCCGAGATGTGAGTGTATGCAGCCGTCACACAGATGTAGAAGACGGTCATGATCCAGTGAAGAATGATACCACCCTGCGGTGTCCCTGGCCGATCCAGTGCTTTCTCGGAAAATGTGAGTGCAAGTTCCTGCCTTGTACCAATTTGCTGCCATCTGTATTGGGGGTGCACTGGGCCCGATCTTCTCCAGATTTGAGACCAGGGTAAGATGTTCGCCCAAGATATACTTTGCTTGACACGAACGCAAGTATATGTCACACTGAGTATACTGCCAAATGCGGAGAGAGATATCAGCACGGCCGATGCGATATTCGCAGAGTTGCTGCCACCAAGATAGAGCGCCAGGTAGTTGTCGGGAACGCTTTCTTTCGCAGCCTCGATGGATGTGCTGTTCCAATCGAACGCGGCAGCCAACAAAATTGCAACAGATAGGTAGATGGCGCCAACCCCGCAGACAGCCCAGAGAAATCCTTTTCGTAGTACTCGAAACGAATCGATCTCACCGGCTACCATAGTAGCATTCTCCCAGCCGTGGAAGCTAAAGAGCGCTTGCATCAGAGCAAATGGCCAATTCGTATCTCTGGGACCCAAGTCTTGGATTGCAGGGGTGCTTCGATTCAGGCCATGTACAGCATTCTTGCCGATGTAGGCCGCGCCAGCAAATATCACTCCGAGAAGTAGGACGACCTTCGCTAGAGCCGTCGCTTTGTTGACCAATTTACTTTTGGCGCTCGACACAAACAACAGCAAGCATATCGCGCTGATCACCGCCACTGACAGAAAGCGGACCAGGCGCTGATTATGGTCGAGCTTGTCGTCGTTCACAAGGCTAAAATAGTCGTAGTTGGCGGATGCCAAGACAAAGCGTGCAAATTGCATGCAATTGGTGGCGGATGTGTACAAGAACACGAAGTAGAAGGCGTACAGAGTGTAGGCGAGCAGTCGAGGTTTGGGCAAAGCATCATCCATCTGAGAAGTTCAGCAAAGCCTTCCACAGGTGATGGAGGCTATGACACATACGTATACAAGCTCCCCTCCTGTGAAAGGGAGCTTTCTGGCGTATTCGATGTACAGTAACATGCTGAAGAGTGTAAGCTCATGAAGCTCAACGGTGGCAGTCGGCGTGGCAATACCTGATGACAGTGTAGAAGAATCCCAGAGTCCAAAGGCCAATGGCGACGTTCTTGTCCAAGGTGTTCCGAAGCACAATGGCAGGCGTGGTGAAGATACCAGTGCCCTATGCACCAATGGACTGCTGTCAGCTCGTTGATGACCAGCGATCGTGTTGTAGAATATATATTATCGTACAATCATCTTGTTCGCGATCAGAGCTGCAACGTCCAAAGCTGAGAGCGTGCGTCTTTGCTTGACGCGCTGATCCAGCCTTGGAGGAAGGCCATCATCTTCCAGGATGTCTGTAGGGCCTTGTGAAGGCGACTGAACATTGGGCAGGCGTGTCGACGGTTGACCGATTTCATCCAAGGGCACGTGAGTGGTGGTGTTCGGCAGGTAAGGCGTAGGTCTATCGACGTGGCCATTCATGGCGATGCCGAGCCTGCGAGCGAGGGCCTGAGGAAGCAATCAAAGTGATATATGCGTATTCCATGGCTTCGCATGGCAAGCAATATGTTAGCCTGTCGCCGGTCTGAGGCCGCTTTTCTGGACCTCGATGTGTGCAATGGGCGCCAGCACAAGCGAGTGGCCTGATGCCGGCACGCATGGCATGCCAAGTGCCATATATAATTAGAGGCGGAGCAGTAGATGCACGCACTATTGATGTGGCTGCAAGCGAGCTTCGTGATTTGCGAGGCCGCAGGTGTGGGAGGCCAAGTCGTGGCCGTGGCCGTGGCTTTCTTTGTCTTATCGTGACGGTGACGGGCGCATCACGCGTGCCGCTTCGCCGGTGTGACTCGGGCCTTCATCACGGCGAAGTTCAATATGCCGTATGCCGTATGCCACATGCCATTGCGTTGCGCGAACGTGAGGCTGTCCACGAGAGCATTCTTCGTGGTGGAAGGCAACATCGCGGCGATGACTGCCCGATGCCCGCATGGCCAATACATCTGCGCGGATCGACTTCTTGGCGTATGCGTCGGATGAAGATTGCAAGACGACCGAGGCGTTGCTGCGCATTCGCGCGCAGGCCTCCAAGCAGAGCAGTGTGAAGCGGGAGGAAGAGTATGAAGTCGCTGAGGATGCCGACCTCCTCCCCACGCTGGAACGACTCCGAAGAGCCTTCCCGAGCGCCGACAAGAGACTTCGCGGCGAAACCTTGCGCACCATCCACGACCTCCTGAATTGCGACTGTGTGCTCTGCAGCCCGCAACGCGACGCCCTGAACAATGCCCGGCGCGAGAGAGAGCTGCCGGCCGAGATTGTGGACAGCAGTGACAAGCTGAAGGCCTTCTCGGCCCTGGCCTTGTCCGGCTGCCTGTTCGCCACCCGCGAGTTCCTTCGGAGCAACGCCGACGATGTCGATGACTTCTCCAAGCTGGTGCGGCGGAGTGCGGGCCAGCACATTCGATCTCGCCTGTTCCGCTTTGTCGACACCCGCCGTACAACGTGCGAAGAATGCACCCACGATGCACCGCCAAGCATCCCATTCGCTGAACTGTGCCTGCAATGCGCAGCCAACAGATTTCGAGAGAGCATCCGCCCAAAAGTGCAGCTGATGAAGGTCGTGACTCTGAACGTGGCACAGGATGACCTCGACGAGTTCTATGGAAATGTCAACTTGCCCATCACCCAGGAACATCACATCCTCGAGGGACAGAGCAGAGCCTCGCTCAAGTTTTCCCGGTGCACTTTTGAGCCAGGCTACTGCGAACTGCTGGTATGTTGCCCAGCCTTCCCAGCTTCTGCCTCCCGCTTACGCATAGCAGGAGAATGACCTGTTCCGCAAACGATACAAGTTCAGGCACGATTCAGACGGAGCCAAGATGCGAGATGCCGAGAATGAAGCCAAACTGGCTTTGCTCCTGCGCAATCGGAACACTCCAGGCATTGCCAAAATCCTCATGGCATTCGTCGAGCATCGAGAGCCAGATCTAGCTTTTACCTTCGTGAATTTGGTCTTCAGACGGGAACAATACAGTCTGAAGGACTACTTCCGAGAGTCCAGTCTCTCAGATCATCTCGCCACATTTTCCACGCACAATGAGAATTTGGTCCTGCTCGAACATGGGCTCTGGAAATCCTTGCTGGATATCGTGGAGGCTGCGGCTAGCATACATGACGTCGCCGATACCACAACAACGAACTCGAAAGCCGTTGGCCAGCGGCGCATGTTGGGCCATCTGGACATCAAACCGGCCAATATCTTGATCACCAGAAGCAAGAGTCTTCTTTTGACTGACTTTGGCCAGGCTGCCAGGAGGACCATAGGTACCAACGACTATGCTCCACCGGAATCTGCCGCAGGCAGCAGCATTGATATGGCAGACAAGTATGACATCTGGTCGTTGGCTTGTTTGTTGACTGAGGCACTTGTCTTTATCAAGGCAGAAGCCGAGCTAGGTCAAGGAAACGGGCCTAGAGCGATCCAGAACTTCTACTCTGCTCGTCTCCACCACACCACGCACAACCAATCTGCCGCGTTTTGGATAAATCGAGGCTCGCGAGATGCCCCGGATCAAAACATCAGAAGCTCAGTCCTTTCAGAGCTAGCTGGGCTGGAAAACATTCGACATCCGCAGACGCAACGCGTTGTTCGCCAGATACGGCGCATGCTCAACATTGATCCGCACCAACGGCCCAACGCAAGCGCATGCCAGAAGCATTTCAAGACTGGCGTAGGACGAGAGATCTTTCGAAACCCCGGTGATATCTCAATAGAGCCTCAGCTTGAGCATTGGAAAACATCCTTCACCACACGTGTTCACCATGACCCGATCCCTTGCCGCCTGTTCCTTCATCAAATCCCTCCAGACGAGCTCGATCTTACTTTAGAGTGTGATGGCGACCCAATGTATCTGCGGCCTGGAATTGCACGACTGGCAGAGGCCGTCTTCGAACCCTTGTCATTCTACCCCCAATCCGATGAGACGGCACTGAAGATACAGAAGTGCAGCGTCTCGAGATTGCTCCGTGGAATCACTCTTCATTTCCTGGAGCCTGTGAAGTTTTTCGAATTCATGACTCTCTTGACGAGTCAAAAGCTTTTGCCAGATGTGAGGAGAGACGCTTCATGCAAAGGTGCTCGCATGAGGTTCACAAAATGTGAGCTTGCGCCACGGAAATGGAACTCTAGCTTGAAAGCCTTTAGCGACAAGCAAGTGCTCGTGAACGGGGCTGTGCAGATCTGGGAATGTTTAAGCGAACGTGAATACAAGGTCGGCTTGCATCCACTCTTTATGGCTTGATTGCACACTCATGCATAGCAGGATCGATACTGCCGCGAGTCGGGACCAGGTGCTGATTCCTCAGACCCTACAGGACGATCGCGAGAATCCTCGGTGAGTGACTCCCGCGCGTGCAAGACACAGTTCTACCGAAAGGAGACCGTAGTGCTGGACGCAGCAACATCGTCTGAACTTTCAAGTTGAAGCGCTCTACACCTGAAACGCTGCTGACTATCGATCATGTATAGGTTGTCAGCCGCGAACATATCGTCGGACGCGTACCTGACTCTGAGAGAAGAAAATACAAGATGGCGCTCTTTGGATACGAGCAGAAATCCAATTCCCGGGCTTGCGTTATTGTTGATGGTGAGTGCGCTTTCGACAAAATTCTCGACATGACTGACAAGCAGAACCCGCTAGTTGGAACAAATAGCTTCACGCTCACAACGTCGGCACCAACGCTGACACTCACGAGAGCATCAGACCGCGTTTTTCAAGCCGTCGTATATGGCCCCCACCGCGAAGGCTATCCTGCTTTCCCCTGCTCGCCCGATATCATTGATCAGCACTTTCGAGATGAAAAGCGATATACCAAGCTTGCGTCTCTACAGCTGACCATGCATAAAATATCAGATACTTCAGGTACGCCACACAAGCATGTTTCGATCTTGATGGCTGCTGATGGGTCCAGATTTCGATAGTTATACCGAGCTACAGCGTATTGTTGCGAGAATTTGTGGTTCGGATTGATCCAGCATTCGATGATACCCAACTTACTTGTGGGAGGGTTGAGATTTGATGGAAGTACAGCACATAGATCAGCAACCTGCTTCAGCAAGCGGCACCCGTATCGTTGCTGACCAAACGATCCTGACTACAAGAGCGCCTTTCCATCTCCAACTCGTCTCAGAAATGTTGCGATAGCTTCTAGAAAAGCATCCGGCTGGTCAATATTCACAGCATGACCAGCATTCGGCACAACCACTTTCTCAGCACCAGGTATCTTCTTCGTCATATACTCGCTCGCTGCCAGGAATGGTTTATCATCCGCGCCAACGACGATCAGACTCGGCACTCTAATACCGCTCAAAGAGTCAATCACTCTCGCATCCCTCTGCGCCAACATGCCTTTCGCAGCAAGCGCCAATCCTTTAGCATTACGATGAGCGACCCGACTGCGCTCCGGACTCTGCTGCAGCAAGATCTCAAGCCCTTGAGTCTCGAATTGCGAAGCTGTCTTATGAGCAGACTCGTTCCACGAATCTCGCGCAGCATCGGACTTGAAACCCGGGCCGGTATCGATGATGAGCAATGCGCCGACACGCTCGGGATGCATGAGGTAGAAAGCCATCGACATATAGCCTCCGAGACTGAGACCTCCAACTATGGCTTTGGTTCCAGCTCCGACGGTTTCATCGAGGATGGCGCCCATGTCCGCGACGGTGTGCGCTTCGCTATAGGCTTGCGGGTCGGATGGGTAGTCGCTCTGGCCATGACCTCGCATGTCCCTGGCCGGGCATTAATACACACGCATATCGATGAAGTGGGGGGTTTTTCGAGTGTGTCTTGGTACCAGATTATTAATCTCAAATCCTTGGACAATGCCTCTACTTGGCCGTGCCACATCGCTGATGTGGAAGAGTAGCCATGTGTGAGGATCAGAGGTCTTGCGCCGGGACTACCGTAGACTTCGTAATAGATGTGTACGCCGTGTCTATTCAACAGCGGCATTTTGACTGGCTTCGATGAGGTTGGAAGGGTAATGGATGTGGATAGACAGATTTCAAGTGGAGTGGATGTCGAAGTCATCCTGTGCCTCGGCAAATGGAGGTGGTACGGTAGACGAGCTTCCTTCACTTTGTCTTTAGTATCCCGTACGCGATACAAGACTAGCGAAAGCCATCGACAACGAAGACACCATGGATTGGGGAGCAATACAGTCATTGATGAACCGGAACATTCTTTGGGATGCATCCATTCTCCAGCACTGGTTCCCAGCATAACCAGGTAGCTCCAATACTGAATCAATGACAACACTGCCATCATTTCCCAGCCTCACACCCTCGCTCTACCACATGCCAAAGTAGCTCTACCAGTGAGCAGCTCATAGTAGCACTATATATCGATTTCTTCGGGGCCCAACGTTCTTCCCGGCGACAGTGGCGGGTAGCAAACTGCTCAAATACCTTCAGCAGCTTGTCGGTAGTCCCATTCTCAATCTCCTCCATCTCCCCCAAAAACTTTGTCATTGATCACAAATGCCACGTCCTTTTGCCTGCAACATTTCCCAAGTTCTCCCTTCCAGCTCGTCATTGAGCAAAGCCTTATTCTAGCCGTCCGCTTGCGAACGCTCAGCAGGACCGTTCTCGATGGGCAACTCGACCCCAGGTCCTCGAATTCCACAACAAGGACCGTGGCGTAAGTGCTTCGCTGCAAGGTCGCCGATTTTTGACGACCACTCTGCTGTCCGCCCGATGGAGTCCATGCTGAGATCTAGCACTCCGATGCCGGCGATGAATGTATTGCTGGCATAGAACGGGCTCGACGCGTCTTCTCGAATCTGGCGACAGACCTGGATCAGTGGTGGCAGTTTGAAACGAGGTGCGTGCTGAATTCTTCGCCATGGTTTGGTGGAGAAGACTGAATACACCTGCTACTTCTGGCCCTCGTTGATGTCGTAGAAGTCGAGGTGCTTCGATGTCGTTTGCGTTTCGTCCAGCGGCGTGACCATGCCCCAGATCTCATTGTGGTAACTTGAGAAGCGGAAGCTCCTGGTTGGCAGTCTCGCGTCGCAGTCGCGTGCGCTCAGTGATCTTGCGTCGAGGCATTTGCGATGCTTCTAGTCGCTGTGCAACTCGAACTGGTAGTAGGCGACAATGCCATGGTGAGTAGGGCTATAGCCTAGCGATGAAGCATCATTTCGGAGATGCGCATTAGATATGAGCTGCCAGCGATGTTCGAAGGTCGAATTTGAGATACAGGAAGGAGCTAATGTTTAAGTTTAGGCAACACATGAATGCCAAGCTTGGAGGAGGATGGGAGCTTTGACCCAGTCTCCGCTCAGACGCTCCTTCCTCATACTGGGGAAGCTACGCTCTAGCGGGGCGTCCAACGATGATTTAGTAGAAATTACAGATTTCGGGCATCGCAAGCTACTCTTAATAGTATAATAAACGACCTCTTCCAGTTACTATCCCCTATATAATGTCAAATATATAAAAAGAATTGAGGTGGGACCGGAGCGAAGTGTAGTCCTTTTCGCCGTGGCGGCTAGTTCACGTTCACGTTCACGTTTCATGAGCGGCACTGCCCTTGATCTGGTCCTTGTGGAAAGAGGCAAAGATGCTCCGAATTCGATATCTTCTCCAGCTTCATCTTACGGATCAAGCAGCGTGACAAGCTCGGTGGCGGCAAGGGTGGCGGCAGGGGTGGCCACTCCTCTCCATGAGCTGTGAGACTTTCTCTTTTCAGTATATTGCTTGATTTTGCGATCTCCCAGTGTGATTGATGTCTTGGAGAGACGTTCTGTTTTCGGGCTGCAAGACCGATTCGCTCTTTGAGACACGACGTGCCCAGCCCTGATCCAGATTCTGATCCAGTGGGGGAGTTGTGCTTGTCCCGTGTGAGCCTTCTCACTTTCGAGCGAAGGGAAGTGAAGTGCTGTGACGTGATCGTTGTGTTTATGTTTATGCCAAGCTTGTTTGTTGTGAAGCCGTTTGCACATGCAACGCGTTTCGTCGAGCTTGTAACGCGTAGCTTCACTTTTGTTGCAAGCTCGCACTTTCCCTTTCCTGCCACTTGTTCCAACGTCTTCTCTTCTCGGTATCCCGCACTTAAAGCCGACCACTTCATTGTCTCCTTTCTCGGACTCGCAACAACAAAACAGCCCAAATGAGAAGACAAGCATAATGGGCCGCCATCGAACATCATACAGCTCCAGCACGATACCGCTGGATCCGACCATTTCCATCGCTTCAGTAGAGCATCTCCTAGTGGACGTCGACTTCTTCAAGCGCGCAAAAAAACCTGGCGGCGTCACCAAGCCCCAGCTATTCAAGAAGCACCGCAAATCGCGTCAGCTCAGTTTGCTCCAATCCTCGCACGTGTGGAAGAACGGAAAGCGAGACGAGCAGGTGCTGCAAATGGAGGAATGGTTTCCCAGTGTCGCGCAGCCTTTGAGCGCGCCAGCATCCAATCCAAAGGCTCACAGCAACACCAAATCCCCGAGCAACATCTCCATGCAGAGTCTGTCCCTGGGACAGCTTCCGCCAGTCTCTTTCAAGAATGACTGTCCTGAATCCGACATTGGCAAGTATTTTTACAAGCTACCTGGCGAACTCCGCAACCGCATCTACCGCCTTGCTGTCCTGCAGGAGACCAATACTGTTGAGGTCAGCACGAAACCGGAGACGTGTAGCCAGGGCGCCTGCACCCATACCAAGACTTCTTTCAATGTCCCGGGCATTGCCAACACTTGCCGCCAGATGCGCTGGGAGGTTATGCCGATATTCGTGGCTGAGAATCGCACCTGGGCATTCGACGCCGGTGTCGTCCACAATTGCTGCGTAGGCAATACTCTTCGAAGCCTAGGCGACTACGCAGATCTTATCCCACAATTCGAGCTGGCAATCAACCGACCACTCTGGAACCGCGACAGCTTCACGGAATATGCGACATACCGCTTCACCCTCTTCCCGCCGAAGAATCATATTGCCAATAGCCAGTGGGATCTTGTGCAGGTCGAGAAAGAAGGTCGCGTAATCTGCGATTGCGCTCCGAGAAAGCTTCTAACAGCTATGAATGCCAACAGAGAATCCGCTGGTAAAGCTGTCGTCGATTTTGTGGAGTCGGAGGAATGGGCAGATTTCGTGTGGAGAGTACGCAAGACAAAGCAGCAGCATGCGCATCTGTCGCGCTGCAAGAAGTGCGGCGAGGTTTTGTTCAACAATTGATTCTGGTTGCAGTCCTGTTGTCTAGGCGCGGCCACGGCAGGCTCCTTGCAGAGAGCACTTTTGTTCCCCTTTGCCGACTTCGAAACGGCCTGGCATCGGACAAGGCGGGCGAAAGCAAGTGGAAGGGAGATTCTTGGTCGTGTCTGGCGTTTCGGAATTGTAGCACGCACGGCGCATCGCGCATCGTAAGTATGCGTCCGAGAGACAACTTCATCGCTCTAATAGGTTGGTCGACTTGGCAGCTTCGTGCAAAGCTGATGGCATACTGGAAATGAAAAGTAATTGGTCCTACATCATCGTACACAGCTCTTTCATATTGCCTCTCCTGCATCCTACATCGTCAGCATATTGCGGACCCATCCTCTGCCTCGGTCTCTATCGCATAGTCCTCCTTTCCAGCGCAAATGATCATGGGCCAAAAGCTACTGACAGCTCGCGTGCAGGACACATTTCCAGCTCTTTGCGCTCTGCCGTGCAGATACGCCGTCTCAATGTCGAAGTGAGCTTGTGATTGGAGTCCTACTCCGTCAAACATTCGGCGTACAGATCGTCCATCGGCGCTTCTCTCGATCGATGCGCGACACGGTCGACGCGTCACTGGATACAGTTCATGGTGCTTCAAGGTCTGGACGCTCGATACGAGGAAGTCTCCTTCAATAAAATCATCATAAGCTATGCTCAGGTCCCAGTGTGTGTCGCCGATAAATCCACAGATGCTGCACGAATGCCACGAACCACAGTCACTGGAACCAAACTTGAAAGGCGAAGAGGAGAGAGATGTGATCAAACTCTAACCGGAGCTGATTCCGTATCCCCAAAATTGCTCCTACAACCCATCAGTCTTCAAGCCGAATCTGCAGCTCTCAACCTGTCTACAACTTTCTTCTCCTTTGCTGTTCACTCCCTATCACTCTCTTGCTCATAAAGAACTATTTAAAACACTTGTCTAGGATGAAAAGCTGGCTGACCAGGAACCATTACCTGCTGGGCCAAGGCCGACTGAGGTGGAGATGAATCCGGCCCCCACGCCGTAATTGAAGCCCAAATACGGGCCGTATTTGAGCTGTCATATACGCTACTGAATTCTCCACCCTCAACAACAGCCTCGTTGCCGGGGTAGCTCAATCGGTAGAGCGTGTGGCTCTTATCTGGGTTCTCACACCCAGAAAAGGACACCTCAAGGTCGTGGGTTCGAGCCCCACCTTCGGCTATTCCTATAAAGCAAACTCAAGTCCTTACTGCCAAATCTTTTGTTGTTTGATTGTAGGATCTTTATTTTTGGATGGTTTTAACCGAGTGGTTTATTGTCTTGGATCTTCATGGCCTTGGACAGGCTCAGACGGGACTAGTATCTTCTTTTGAGTATACAATGTGGTTTGAATATCCTATGACTAAATACATTGCAATAGAAATGACGAAGATAGAATGCTTTCTTCGTCTGGACCCACGTATTTCCTAGTTGGGCTAGACCGATCCCGCGTCACGACGTACACCTTCCGTATCCTGCTTCTCTCTTTGCTCTATTTACATTTTAACTGCTTACAAAACACTGCAGTACCAATGCATACTCAAGGAGCAAGTCTATTTCGGACGGGCATTCTCATCTCCGTCACCATACCGATCTTAACTGGAGTTCGAGAAGCAACTTGAGATCGGGACGGATCATGCGACTGTGAAAGCATCTGCAAGCCACATTCACAATCTCGCCGCGTTCGCTCTTTTCGACATCCAGCAGCGATGCGTATATGTGAATTTGTGGGCAACGACATGTTCTCGCGCTCGTTCTCGTTGCGATGCTGTGCGCTTTGCAACTTCGACATACTCAACATGGGCAAGGGACCCGTCCTGACACAGCGTCCTCACATGTCTCCTACCCTCGGACCGGAGGCGCAATAAGGCTGGGAATCTCGATCCCCACTTGCTGTGCCACTTGTCTGCGGTGCTTGGCATGCTTTTTGTATTGGCCAGTACGGTGACACGTTGTAGAGCCTCGACCAAGCCTCAGAAGACTATGCACGATCCTGTGATGAGGTTCCGCTCTGGCTTTGAGGAGCTACGCTCTCGATTCATCTTGGAAAAAGCCAGACGGCGGATACTGAACACTGAACAGCGCTCGGCACCCATGGCAATCTCATCTCACTGAATGGAAAAAGGGGAGAGACCTCGGCCGTACCCTGGCAAAGGAGGAACCAGAATGTTATCTCTGTTCCAGCCCCTCATGGTCCGAACAAGTCCATCTTGCAAGCGGGACAAGGAACGCCAAAGGGATGTTGACTTCCGGAATCAGCTTTCCAGGTGCCGTTTTGAGACGCTGTAAGGCTCTTCCCTTATGTAAAGCAATACTCAAGCCGCCTACCAAAGGCCCTTTTAGGCACTGACTAGTATAAACTTCCAGCCTTACCGGTTGGTCGAGTGGGTCTCCTCCATAAGCAAGTGCTGGCGAGCCGCTTCTCTGATCCATCGAGGACAATGGCACTCTCGACCTGGCCATATAAGGACTTATACTTGACCCGTTCTTCACAGATCCTTGGAAATCTCGTCTAACAGACAGGGACTAGACATTCATTCACCATGAGGGCAGCGAGTCAAATCTTCTGCTCGTTTATGAGCTTGCTTCAATTCAGCATTGCATTATCACCGCAAGGCGAAGTGCTTGAGAAGCGTCACAATGCAGAGGTCTATAGCTACACGAGGATGGGCCCTGGTTATGTGCATAACGTTCAGACCTACCACATAACCTCTACAAGGCCTTGTACTACGACATGGACGGCTTACGAGACAAAGACCAAGCACGGAAAGGGACAATCCGTGTTCACGACTACGACGACGACGACGAAAACGGTGACTGCCAAAACAGCGTCCACACCGACAATCCCAGCTTCGAAGGGCTTTATCCCCATTGATGAGTCTATTCCAGGTGCAAGCTACGACCCGGCTGCAAGTCTCGCGAAGAGAGAGGCTGTTCCTACAAGCCCTGCGCAGCCGCGGCGGCGACTGGGCCGGTCGGGGAAGTTCACACCCGCAAAAGGTCGACGTTGTACATTGGAAACAGGCCTCCAAGTGCTCAGTAGAGAAGGAAACCCATACAAAGACCAGCGTTGATTGCAAGAAGACAGTCACAAAAACAGCTACCGCGACATACACGAAGTATCGTTCGACAGCCTCACCAGTCTACGCCGCCTGCGCGACAAACAACATTGCCACCGCTTACAAAGGCCTACCGCTATTCGGCCTCGCGGCAGGACCGATCTCAGACCTTGATGCCAACGTGAGCGGATACTCCTACAGTTATCCCGATGTTACGGAAAGCTACAGCTGCTGTGTCGCAGCCATCCTTTCCAGCCCTCCAGCTGCATTCTGGGGGCTTTCAGAGAGCATATCGGACACGACAGACAATGCTTGCATCGTCGTCAACTTGGATGGATGCACGGCTCCAAGGACGAACCCGTCCACCGCTGGCATCAGCTTCGAGATTGAAACGTCAACAAATGGAAATGGGACTACGGATGATCGCGTTTACAGTGCTGGAAACGCTTACTGCGGCCAGTGGTTCCGAGGATGCGTGATTACGGATAATGGTACGCCTGATGGTGCTGAGACTTGCTATCCTCCGAAGTGAGCTCGATGTCGTGGCACAGGCGACTCTGCTTTGTTGCTTGGACAGTGCCCAGTTCGTGGCGGACAGAAGGGAGGTTCACCTCTCTGCAAGTTGCGGAGTTCCCGAAAGTCGCCGAGTATGTGTATCTCAATGCTTGTTATCCAAAGCTTTTCCTCGGTCTTGATCAAACTTCTTCTTGTCTCGTGTGCCCGAACTTGTCGTATTTCATATCCTTCTGCAGGCCATGGTTAATTGCTGGAGATGACCTTTATCTAGACGAAACTGGAGGAAGTCGCATGTGATCGCCGCATGGGCGAACTCGTAAGATGGCTTTATTCGGGTCGAGACGACACTCGTATCACGATGCAATGAATTAGATTATGCTTGGCAATATATGCATAATGCTATCATTCGTATCTGTAACAGTAGTTGTTCTTGTTCGGCCACATGGCTTGTCTAACGGTGATGTTTGCAAAGACCGGAGAGAGATTAATGATGGTATTCAGATCCGCGTATGGTGTTGGCATATTCCCTAGAAACTACCGTTAGCAAATCATGCACCAAGACATACATAAGCCCGTCACACGCAATGGCTTACATCCTCCTTCAACTCTCTTTGCATCAAAAACACGAACTTCTGGCAATGATGTAGTCCTCGCGTTCCAGTCGAGGCTCTGCCATACCGAGAAAACGAAATCTAACATGCCGTGGTGGAAGTTGAACCAAGGGTCCTGGGAAGAGAATGTCACGTCGCTCTGTGAACCACCCATGAAGAGATGAGGAGCATTGTGGACGGATGGCGACTCGAGCTCGATCAGTTGCGCGAATCTGTTTACATCTGGTGACATGGTCAGGTCAAGCCGTAGCTTCCGAAATTCCGCAAATACTTACCATGCGCCTGGTCGATAGTGTATACGACTTGGTCGTATTGTACACTGTCAAGAGCTCGGAGATTGAAAGTTCGTTCAATGCAGGACGGGTTGTATCCAAGGCCGTCAGAGCGTGGATTCCGTTTGCATCCCCACGAATCAAATCCTTGAGGCCCCAGATTGATAGTCCACGATGCCATAGGGCCACTCATGACACAAGCACACCTCGGTCCTGTCTGTGTGCCATTTCCAGAAATTGAAGTCTCAGAGTTATCGAACAGTGGCCAGGTGTTGATGGGTCTGTCGAGGTACTTGGACCAATGCCAGTAAGGTAGACCTGCGGCGATCCATGTCAGTCGGAATAGACACGGCTTCTCCACCTCTATAGAAGCACATACCTCCTTCGTAGCCGCATTCCTCTCGCAGCGCACGCTCGAGTTGCCATATGTAGTGTCTGTGCCAGACCGCTAGCAATGGAGAGCGGTGGATAGATTGAACATTAATCAGGTGAGCAACGGCGAGGTCATCCCAGCGCCCACGGGCTCCCGGATAAGCTGAGGTGCTTGTCTTTCCTGGCCTGTTCTTCAAGCATCGCAAAGCTGAGAGATATTCTTTCCGAGCTGCTACGCTCAAATCACCCCTGCAACAGGCTTAAGCAACAGCTCAACGATCATGGGGACCGGAAGGTTACCTACCATTCTCTGCGCACCACCATATTGTCCCAAGTGCATGGTCCTTGCGGGTCCAGACTGTTCCTTAGATTCGTGAGGTAGATATTGTGCAGCTCATCCCATCGAGCCTTCCCTGGAGGCTGCGATTGTCGGGTTTCGTGCGGAGCAGCGTGTACAGGTTGATTATTGGCGTGGGCCGCTGCGGAAGGAAGTGCTGTGGCCAAGAGAAGCAATAGCGATGTCCATATCCAGATGATGCCGCGATCAGCCATGACGCTCATCACGACGTGGGCAAGCATGCGCAAGAAGAGAAGGAATGTTAGAAGTGCAGCGCAGGGAATCGTCCACAGAGACAATGTTTCCCGGCAGTTCCGAAATAATCCCTATACCAGTCGGCGCGCTAAAGGAATATGAGCATCGTGCTCGCCGGCACTGATGAATTAATCAATGGGAAGAGCAGAAGGAGATGAGTTACAGCTGACCGAGATGCAAGCGGGCTTTATGCCGGAACGGTGGGTTTCGACTCCGTCCCAGGAGAGACGTCTGCTGCGTTTATATAAGCATCCATTATCCTTGCCAAATCTGAGTGCAGGCATATTCTACCGCGCCAGGGACGCCCTGACGCTTTTGATTGCGACTTGGGAAAGGAGACTTTATTATTAGGAGAGATTCGTTATACATATGCGAGCACGGTGAGCTTCGCGCAGTTGGTTGTCATCGATGTAACTTGGTGTCAGACGCTGTGCGTAGCGAGCTCCTGCCTCTATTTGGGCTTGTAGGACTATAAAGTATCGTTCAAGCCCTGCAGTGCTTGTCCTAATCGAGCGGAGCGACGGAGTGGCGCTCAAGAACGGTTTGTTTTGCGGTAGAAGGCCGCTATGGGTTGCTTGCGGAGCTTGCGGAAGAGGCAGGCATAGGGGTGTCGTATCGTATAGTGCTGATCGTGTCGTATAGTGCTGGTCGTGTCGTATAGTGCTAGTCGTGTTGTATAGTGCTAGTCGTATTGTATAGTGCTATTAGGGGAGCAGTAGTAGTGTTGGCTTATTGTAGTGTTGCCTTCATTGCCTTTGCTGTTGTGTAAAAGCACAGCCTAAGGCCGAAGGGCCACGTAACTCGGATTCGATTTTAGACCAATTAGAGGGCTCCGGGCTCGGTTAGGTTTACCGTTTACGGGCGCATCTTTGAAATTCAGCCTCCCTGCGCTATAACTGCCGTATGCTGTTACTGCTACTACTAACTATACGTATACGTTATTAGTACTAATCTAATTTGTTCTTAAGCGCTACTCTAGACTAATAGATACCTTATATAACTCTTATTATAAGCTCCTCGAGTTACTCTAGATACCTATTAGTCTATTACTCTACTTAAAAGATAACGTAACTTTAACTTTTATTAATATTTAATAGGACTTATACGATATTTTAAAAGTATTATACTAATTCTTCGCCTATAAGCCTAAAAATAAACTACGCTAGGCTAGTAGGTAGAATATAGCTATTTGCCCTTAGAGCCTATAGTATAACTATTCTACGTAGGTAGGATAGTATAAAGAGACTAAGGCTCTCCTTAATACCCTAGATAAGACCGTCTAACTCTAAGATCTAATATAACGTAATACTATTATTATATTCTAACTACTATAATAAAAGCTAGATTACGATAAAAGTCTTAGTAATTATTAGAGGGTATATAAAAGGCATATAGCTAGCTAGGTAAAGCTAGGGTCTTAGTACCTTAGGTAGGCCTTAGCGCTTAGCGATAGCCTAGCTTCCTAACCTTCCTCTTCCTCTTTTATAGATCTTATCGAATACTATACGCTATTAACTATACTATCTACCTACTTACCTAACCCGTATTATTTAGTATTCGATCTACCCTTTAAGGGCTATAGCTAGATAGTTAACTAATTTAAGAATACGGCTTAAAATTCGTACTAAACCTAGCCTACTACTAAGATAAGACCTATATACTAAGAAAGTACTAATTCGACTATACTAGTTACTAACTTAGGCCTTCTATATAGCCTATTCGACTAAGTTAATCGATTATAGACTAAATTAGATAACTATAATAATATTATAAATAAGGGCTTTATTATAGGCTAATAGGATAGCTATCTACTATTTAGACTACCTAACCTCGGGCTTCTAAGGACCTATTTACGTAGGAAACTCTAGGCCCTTATACGAGAGAAGAAAGTCCGTAAAAACTTCGTAGCTATCTAACGCCTTATAGCTAAACTTAGTACGCCTATAGTGGAAGAACTAGTCCTAAGAAAGAATACTAAACTTAAGAACTATACTATATTTAATAGCTCTAGTAGGCGGTAGTATAATAGCTATATCCGTAACTATAAGCTTAACTAGCGCAATATACTAAAAGCGCTATTAACTAAATACGCCTTAGTCGTCTACGCTATATAATATATTAATAGCGACTCTAAAAGAAGCTAAGATAACTACTTTAATTCCCTTAAAGACCTATCTAAAATCGACTAGCAAACCTATAAGGATACTATACTAAATACGCTTATACGCTTAGTAACCCCTAATTAAGATAATAGCGTACTTAGGAACAATTCCTCTACGCTAAATAGAAACCCGATAAGACTACTTAGGCCTTCTAAAACTAACTAAGGACTATTAAGGGCGACCTACTATCTAAAGATAATTTAATATAGATTATAGAAGTATAACCTAAATCTAGGTAGGGACTTAACCTTAAATTAGACCGCCGCCGTATATTTAAATAATACTATAGTCGCCTTAAATTTATAGTCGAGGTTAACCTAGACGAATAGGCTATATAGGCCTAGAAACGACTAGAATCGAAGATCCGGCCTAATAATAATAATAACCGTAGCAACTATAGAAGAGGTAGTTACTAGGGTAGAGCTAATAAGCCTAATAAGAATAATAATAATAGCGACCCCTAGCGAGACTATAGCAACTACCGGTCCTAGTTATATCGAGGGGGCAATACCTAGCGTAGTAGGGGCCGCGGAAGGGGTAGATTCCCCTACTAATAAACTAAGCGGCCTATAGCTAGTAGTAGCGCTCTACTAACCGACTTTAAGTACTCTAATTATAATAGTACTAGCTACTTACTTAGGGTATATAATAAGCTAAAGGATTAGGCTCGGATTAAGCGTACTACCGCTAACTATAGAAAGAAGCTATAAGAAGGGTTATATTAGTAGGTAGATAGGGTAGTAGTAGGTATAGGTAGTATTCGATAAGGAGCTAGGAGGAGAGGGAGGAAGGTAGGCTAGTTAGCCTAACGCTAAGCGCCAAGCCCTGCCTAAGGCACTAAGACCCTAGCTTTACTCGGCCTAATTATATACTAATTACGTATAGCCTCTTTAGCCCTAATATACGCTTCCCTTCTAAAGGCCGCGCCCTCGTAGCCTTTCTATATTCTAACCTCGACCTCTGCTACTAACTTAGCGAATCTAATAAGCTACTTAGCCCGCGCTAAATTAAACACTTAACTACCTAATTACGTAACCGTATCAAACCTTACCTCTAATACAATACGATATTTAACTCTAACTGCGCTATCCCTATATATAATAAACTATAAAGTAATATATATCTATAGGAATTAAGGACTATCGACTAATTACAATACGAGCGCGTCTTTCCTACTATAATAGATAGGCGTACAAGGTATTATAGCACTGCCTCCGTTCTAAGTAATATCGTTCCGAGTTCTTTACGTCTACTCTAAAAGACTTAGAAATGTCCGCTCCGAGGGATTGTTCTTATTATTATAAGGGCTATTATTGTTCGTAGTTTCGCTAGCTCTAATTAGTTAGGTTTAGCAGCCTTTAATTATTAATTGATCTTATCTTTTTAAAAACGCAGTTCGTCTAGTTTCTATAGGTAAAGGCTATTATAAGTATAATAGTTAAGGTTCGCTTCGCTTAAAGGGTCGGAAGATTAAAGAGTAACCTATTGTCCGTAAGATCGACCCCGGCTAGCTTAGCTCTATATTTTTGCCCTTAGTTAGTCTATTAGTCGCTTAATCTTTTAACTTAGTTAGCGTAGTATAGGTAAGATTGTTTTTTATAGGTATAGTAGCGATAATAAGTAAGATTAGTAATAGTAGCGAGTAGGTAATATTAATAATAGCGGCGCTAGCCGTCTTAGCGCTAACTTTACCTTGTTCCTCGTTTCCTTTCTTAACTAGCAATATACTTTGTAATACCGTTACTAATATAGCCGCGCCGGCCGCGCCGTCCTTTAGTATAAGCGCTAGCTGTCTTTATTATTATTATTACTATTTACGCGTACGCGCGCCGCCCTCGCCGATCGCCTAGGCCTCGAGGCCTTAGTAGAATAAAGGAATAAGAGGGGGACCTAAATACTAAGAGGAGGGCCTTATAGGGCGTATTAGTAAAGAGGTAGAATCCTTAAAAGAGTAGGCGATTAGTTAATAGTTATAGCGCGCTCGTTAACACTCGGTGCGCATTCGCTATAGTAGTATAGTCTTATTATCTCTTACTAACAATTGTCTTGCCTCTAATTAGTTAGCTAATAGCACCCTAGGGGTAGCATTGTTCCTAGGCCCTAATAGTAACATTATAGGCCCTTAGCCTTCTTCTTATTCTTTATACTAGTCTAATACTCGTCTAACAACTTAGCTATGTCCTTAAAAGCGGCTTTAGCTTCCTATAAGTTCTATTTAGGTAAATAGCCTTGCTACCTTAATAGGTATTCCTTCTTGCCTTGCCTAGTTCGGTGCTTTAGGATGCGTTCTATAGACTATAGCTCTTCGCCGTCGGCTAGTATCTCTTTATATTCTATAGGGGCTTCTTTAGGGCCTCCGCGGTAGTAGTATAGTTTAAGGAGGGAGATATAGAAGGTATTATAGATAGTATAGTATAGTAGGAGCTATAACCGGTAGGCCTAACTATTACCCTTCGGTTCTCGGATGCGGAATAGACTAATAAACCGTAGTGCTAGTTTAGGGCGTGTTTTGCTATTAAGCGACGGGTATTTACGGATACGGAGGTTCTTAGTGCTTAGTATAACTATATCGCCTTGTTTAAAGGTTATTAGCGTATAGTACTTGTCGTAGTAGGTCTTTTAGTACTCTTAAGCCCTTGTTAGCTTCTTAGCTATCTTAGTATAGATTTCTCGCATTTTCTAGATACGTTCTATTACCGCTAGTATCTCTAGTACTTAACGCGCTTCCCTTTCCTTACGCTCGGCCTCGAGCGTTAGTAGGTCTTGTAGTAAGGCAGCGTTTTAGCCTATTATAGCTATATATAGTAAGACCTTAGTTAATAAATGCATACTGTTATTATATACGAATTCGGCTAGTTATAGGAGGTTAACCTATCTATTAGGGTCCTTATTAATATAGCTTCGTAAGTATTACTATAGGGTAGTATTTTGCCTCTCGGTCTAGCTATCTGTTTATAGATAGAACGCTATAGATAGGCGATGCTTAAGTCTTAGCTATAGGTATATCTTACTCTAATAATAAGATATAAATGTCGAGCCCTAGTTAGAGACTATTCCTTTAGGGATTCCCTAATAGCTATAGAAGATGTTATTCTATAGTAACTTAGCTAGGTTAATAGCCGTCTAATCCTTCCGAGTAGGGATATAACGAGCGCTCTTAGTAAACCGGTCTACGATAACTAGGATAGTATTATATATATCCTTGCTACCCCTACGCTTAGTAGGCGGAAGACCTATAATAAAGTCTATTATTAGCTCTACAAATAGCCTCTTTAGAATAGGAAGTAAAGACAACTCGCCGAATAGTAAGTGCTTTAGTGCTTTAACCCGCTAGTATACTATATAGGTCTGTATATATTCTTTTATATACCGCTTACTATTTAGCTAGTAGTATATACGCGATAGCAGCTCGTACGACCTCTCTATACTATAGTAATTAGCAAGCTTACTATTATAGTGCCTCTTTAAAAGCTCTTGTCTAATCGATTGTTTAGTAAGGATATAGTATCTACCCTTAAACTTTAAGTAACCCTTATTATCGATCGACTAGTTACTCTTACTAGATCGAGTCGTTCGCCTACTTATAAGCTTATCGATACGTTTGGTA